GCAACATATTACTGACACGAGCTGTCCTTCACGTGAGGTGTATCTGCTCCTCAAAAACACTCATACACACACACACACACACACACACACACACACACTGTACGAGACAGTTACACAGTATTCATGAACATAATATTATATAATGCATAATTTAATTACCAATTTTGACACTTTAAGATAAAAACACTTTTGCTAAGAGCTAGATGAGAAGATAAATACAAATGTTATAACTATGAGTTTTATACAAAAAGCAGTAACCTTTAGCCAACAAACTGGTCAGCTCAACGGAAAGACTGCGAGCAAGGGGAACCTGCTGGCTCTCTCCTAAAGGAAAACAAATCCACATAAAAGCACCACTAAAGCTCACTACTTAAGTTATTTTGAGTATATTTATTGTTATGCTATAGCATAACCAATAAGATAATAATAATAATAATAATAATAATAATAAGCCATAGCTTATTGGTTAGGCAGTTTTGTGGATGTCCTGGCTAAGTGGTGACTCACCAAAGTCAGTCAGCATGTAACCCTTAATAAAACCACAATGTGTTATTTCACCCATTGGTTTTTAACAGGTTTAAAAACATTACATAACTATGACCTGGCTTTGAATGAGTTAGGGATAGGTGACTTTTTCTAAACTTAGGTGGAAACAGCTAGCCTGGCTGTGAGCTGTTTTAAATTGTAATGCTAAGTTAAGCTAATGGAACTAATCAGGGGTAGTTTGCCACTTTCAGGGGAAAATAACTTTTAGCACATTATTCACCATTAAGGACCTACTGATTTACTCTTTCCAAATGTAAGTCAACGGGAAAAGTTTATCTGGGCCCAATAAAATCAAGGTCAGACAGAGAATTTGTAGTACCACCATTTAGCCACTACAAAAATGTGCTTTAACATCCGACTCACTTCCTGGTGGAATTTAGCAGGAGAGAGTTATAACTATTGTCACCTAACTCTTGGAAAGGTAGCAAATAAACATGATTCCCAAAATGTAGTCCTTTGACATACATTAAAACACATACAAAAATAATTCCTTTCAAGAACTGATGAGCTCCAGTTGTGTGTAGTGTTCCCTTCTTCCCTGTTATTTTTCCTTGCGTCATCTCATCTGTTAACTGGAGCCATTGTTCACCTCTTTGCTTCCCCTCCTGCTGTGTCTCTAGGCGTTTGCATGGTGGACAGACCTCATGGTGGAGCATGCAGAAAACTTCCTGGCCCTCTATGCCATTGAGATGGATGCCGCTCTGGAGATCCAGTCCCCTGAGAGCTGGGACAGCTTCCCCCTCTTCCAACTGCTCAACGACTTCCTCCGGAATGATTGTAAGCTAACATTTCTTTTATAGAACCTTCAAGTATTGTTATACTCAAACAAAGACGCTAACGTTTTTCTGTCACTGCCTCTATTTTTTACACAGATCATCTGTGCAATGGAAAGTTCCACAAACACCTCCAGGATCTGTATGCTCCTCTGGTGGTTAGATATGTGGATCTGATGGAGTCCTCCATTGCACAGTCAATTCACAAGGGATTTGACCGAGAGTCCTGGGAGCCTGTTAAGTAAGGAACCTCTGTATTTAGCTAGACTGTAGGATGGCTGGAGATGCAAGGCTTTTATATTCAGATGACAGACTGACTACATGGACGCTCAACAATCTTGGAGGGCAGCTATAATGGTCACCCAGACCTCCTGAGGGTTCACTTTAAAGAATGAGCCAAGAGTGGGCTGAATAACCCATTTATTCTCTGGAAAAATTGGTTATAAGTCTTTGACTTATTTATGTCCTTCTATTTCTATTCTCCGACACAATAAGGTCAGGGCAACATGTCTCTGTTGTTTTGTTTTGTGAACTAACCTCCATAATGTGTGCTTTGACATGTTGCCAGAAACAAAAGGCATTCACTCCGTTATGTTGCTGTTATAATTTATATGTTGTGGCTTTCACACTTTTGCTTTGAAAATATCATATTTAAGATTTACAAGGTAAAACGTTATTTGTTTTTATTGTTATCAGTATTATTAAGTTGCTTTTCCTTGTCATTGCATTTAATACAGTATATATGTGCATCATGAGCTCTCTTTACTCTGCAGGTCTTTGTATAATGTGCATCTTTGACAATTACTGTTGGTCTTGTTTATGTGTGCAACTCTACGTTCCTGTCTTCACCTAATTTGAGATTTTACGTTACTTTTATGATGAGTGTTACATGGCTTTCTGCAGCTTCCACATCACTGTTATAGATTCTTTTTTTCTTTTTGTCTGTCTTTTCTGCAGGAGTTTAACAAGTAATCTGCCCAATGTGAATCTACCAAATGTGAACCTCCAAATTCCCAAAGTACCAAATCTGCCAGTGCCAGTAGCAGGACTATCAGTTAACCTTCCACAAATGCCTAGCTTTTCTACCCCGTCATGGATGGCTGCTATATATGACTCTGAGTGTGTATTCAATTAGTTTACTTTAGAAACATATGAAACAACCTGAGACTGCCTTGGTATGAAGATGTCCTCAGCAAAAGATCATCAAAAAACAATCAAATTCTTTGTTCTTTGAAGTACAGCAAAAATATTTTCTAGATATCTCTAACTGGAGATTCAATGTTAAACAAAATCAATTGTACTTGGTTTTTCCCTTGTGTGAATATTCCATTATAAATGTCCATGTTCATGCCAAGAGCTCTCTGAAAGGTGTTAGAGTAGATGGGGTTCTGCTTTCTAAAATGAGACACACTCTCATTTGTCTCAACATGCATGCTGTTGAGCTGAGGTGTGGAGATACAGGCCAAAACCAATTAAATTCTACATGTATATATTAATACAATATATAGCTCCAAGGCTATTTGGAACCATTTGCAAGTCAAGTTATCTATTCCACAAAAAATGCATCTCCCCAGAGTTGTTTTCCACAGACATTTGCTTTAGTGATTTCTAGTGCACTGTAGATCGTAAGTGGCCTCAGATTAATCTCTGACCTTGAGCACCTGCCAGTGGTCTGATTGGATGGGGAGATAATGGCTTGGATTGGAGATGATGGCGTGGGGAGGCTGGGTAGCCCCCTCTCCGTTTTATCACCTCTCCTTGAGACTCCACATCTTTCCTGCAGCACTTTTCCAATGAGCTCTACTCAGGATGCCCTTAAAGGTCTGCATGATTTGTTCAGTAATTATTCCAGGGGCTCCACCAGCCTGGGAATATGGATGTTGAGAGAGGGCCTGTGATGAAGGGAAATCAATTTGCACAGTTTTTGGGTGGAAACAGACTCAGTCCGTACATCCCATTCTTACATGCCCTCTCTCATTTCCCCATTCTCCACTCTTTTGTCTTGACACAATTTGATTAGCTGCTGTATCTGCAGTGACTTTACCTGCATGTGGCCACTTCACATCCCAGTCAATAATCATACTCTACAGCAAGGGTGTCAAACTCAATTTCATCGCGGGCCACATTAGCATTATGGTTGCACTCAAAGGGCCGGTTGTAACTATATAAATATATAATATATATATAAAATAATGTATTATATTACATTATTGCCTCTGAATTGGATTATTACCGGATAGGGTAATAACTCTGAAAGCAGAAGTCCAGGGTAAATAATTGCAAGTCTCTTCAGTGCGCATGTCACAAAACGAGATGCATTGTGGGACATCTAGTTTATGGGCAACCTGCTTCTGTAAAGTGGCATATAACCGTATAATAAACGTATTATATTCTTTGCAAGCTCTTGCGGGCCGGATTTGGCCCCCGGGCCTTGAGTTTGACACCTCTGCTCTACAGCATGGTTATTGATTTGTTACAGTAAACCCTGCTCGCTCCTTTTCTCCCATAGACTGACTGTTCAGAAACACTGATATTGAGACAGACATTCGGATGAACCAGTCAGTATATGGTCAGAGTATAATTTGACTGTCTTTAGGTGTGGAGGAACAGCATCCTCCTCTGCACCTGCCACAACCCCCACTCCCCCACCCCCTCTCTGCAGCAGGTGACCACCCGCTGTCTTCTAACATGTGTGTGTGTGTTTGGGTCAATGGCAGTAATGGCTCCGGGACGTCGGAGGATCTCTTCTGGAAGCTGGATGCCCTGCAGACCTTCATCAGGGACCTGCACTGGCCTGAGGATGAGTTTGCCAAACACCTCGAGAGTCGCATCCAGCTGATGTCGAGCAACATGATCGAGAACTGCGTCAAGCGGTGCGTGTGTGGTCGCATGAGAAGAGAGACTGACAGAAACTGCAAACACTTAGGGGCACCAAATGTTGAGATTCAACAAACTCAATATGTTATGTTATAGTGCATTACAATATTTCACTTTCATTGCAGCACTAAGATGGCATTTGAGTCCAAGCTGACAAAGAGCAGCAAGTCCACAGATTTCCGCATTTCTCCAACATTATGCACCATGTTCAACGTGATGGTGGATGCCAAGGACCAATCAGCTAAATTGTGTGCAATGGAGATGGGCCAAGAGGTAACTTCCACCTCACAGGGACTGCATGTTGATCATTGACACTTAGTTTAGGTAGTTTTCTTTTTTGTTATCTGTTGAGTTGATGTTTTGTTAAAAACTTCTAACCTTTTTTTTTTGCAGAAACAGTACCACACCACAATAGACGAGCTGATTGAGGAAAGTGTGAAAGACATGATCCTGTTTCTGGTTGCAAAGGTGAGACTATATCAATTTTCACAATATATCGTTTGTTATTACTTGTTCATTCTTAATACTGATGATACATTTTCATTTTCATAAAGTTCTTATTTATTCTGTAAAATAACAAAACATTTACTGGACATGGCACTTAATTGTGTATATTCAAGGTTTACAAATGATGAATCCTCTTATTTATCCTCTCAGGATACATTGTAATCAGGCTGAAGACTTTTCTTTTTGCCGCTGCTTTTAATTGAGCTATTCATATCTTAAACTGCACTGTAACTTTTATTCATGTCTTTTTTATTTTAATGTTTATTTTATTATCTTTGCTTTTTAAAGACTGTTTTTAAATGCAATTTTTTCTTGATGTTTTTCATTTTTTGTAAAGCACTTTGAATTACCCTGTGTTGAAAGGTGCTATATAAATAAACTTGCCTTGCCTAATCACTTTAATTTCCTCACTTGTCATCTGTTGCCATCATCAGGTCAAAATAAACAAATCTCAAATATGTTTAGTTTATTCCTAAATACATGCAAAACTAATGACATTCTCAGCTGTAATTTAAGTTAGTTGCAAAAAGCAGATTTCTTAATTTAAGGTATTTAACATGGTAAACACAAAATTCCTGCTTAACATCAGCATGTTAGCACTGTAACACTTAATGCTGTTTCTCTCTTGTTTTCGCAGTTTGTTGCCATTCTGGAGGGCGTGTTGGCCAAGATTTCCAGATACGATGAAGGCACTCTCTTCTCTTCATTCCTCTCATTCACGGTGAGATGAAGTTTCTTTATTTAGATCCTCACTCAATGGGCACATTAGTCATATTTAGGGCTGGTTATCGAACCTCAATACTATTTATGACCTAAAGCTTGGATTAAATGCTTGCCTTAGCTCTGTGCCTGTCTATCCTTTCAACTGATCTGTGATCTGTTTATCTTTAAATATTCTCATTTTGATTGTATTTAAAGGGATCTATAGGAAAAAAAACATGTTGTATCTGTCAAAGTAAGCTATTGTCAAATTATTGCTTTGGAGTCAAAACTCAAGAAACATATTTGCAATACAATTGAAACATGTAAAATGATACCCAGCCCTAAAGGTAATGATAGAAATGCAAATGTTTTTGAAACTGTGTTTGATCATTTTGTTTTCTGATTTCAGGTGAAAGCTGCCTCTAAATATGTGGATGTACCTGTAAGTGCAATAACGCCCTACCACTTCACCACTGTGTGTTCGTTGTTTGTTTTAACCTGATGCGGCTGAGCAAGCTTCATTTTGTTTTTTAACATCAACAGTGTTTCTCCTGTGTTTGCTTATTCTTCTCCTGAGCCCCGACCCTTCTCTGTTTCTGTTTTACAGAAGCCTGGAATGGACGTGGCCGACGGCTACGTGACCTTTGTGCGCCATTCTCAGGATATGCTCCGTGATAAGGTCAATGAGGAGGTGTATATAGAAAGGTTATTTGATGTAAGTAAGATGCCGTCTCCTCCTCACAAAAAGGGAGGGGCCTACCAAAATGTGGCAAAACAACAGGGCAGGGAGGGATAAGTCCCATTTTGAGAGCAGCAAATGTATTTTAGCCTGGCAGAAAAGGTTTTTCTGATCCTCTACCCTTCTAGACTTTTCTCTTTCTTTCTGTCTCTCTTCTCTTAAAGCCTTAGCAGCTGCCCTCTGCATTCTGGTGTGCATTGCCACACTGCTTTTGGGTCTTTGTGTATTAAAAAAAGGAAACTTTTATTTACAAAGAGTCCATAAAAGCATCCTCAAAAAAGGATTATTTGAAGCAGTGCTCTCTGGAAAGAACATAAACCAGCACACCACCAACTTGTACTTTTTTTTAGCTCACCACTGTGCTTTTGGATACTTTCCACATAAAGCATGTCAGCCTTCTGAATAAATGGCACTCAGCACTCTTGGCCTCAGTCCACAGTGTAGCACCCACACGTTTCTCTGTGAGCTGAAAATGCTGGGTGAAGGATGCACTGCTGGATGGGCCAGGGTCAACATGATGTCAAACTCTGAGGCTGACATGTCGAATACCCTTGGTCTGTTAGAGCGGTGGTTCCCAACCTGAAGGTCAAAACCCTTCTAACATAAATCTGAAATGTCATGTGATGACTTACAGGATAGGAAAATAATAAAAACCTTTATATTGCTATAAATAATGTGAATATCTTCTGACTTCCCCTTAAATTTGAGCTATATCTTGAAAAAAAATGTTCAGCAACCTGTATCACCTGGTCAAAAAGAACTGCTGCACTGTAACTCAATAGATTAGTACTAAACGTTCTACTTTGTATAGTTGCTCCATCTGAACTTACAGTAGTGTAACCATAATGAACGTATTCTAGCAGATATGGATGTTATTATTATTATTATTATTATTATAGGGAATCAATCTGATAAAATGGAAGAGAGATGACTAAGTAGTGGCAGAACATAGGAGACCAAAACCAGATAAGAGAACAAGGTAAATGTGTGAAGTGGCATTATATATTATACATATTTGAAGTACATCTTTCCAATTAACAATACAAAAAAAAGTAAAAATCCCCTTCAAAACAAAGAAATCCTTCATTACTAATCAAAGAGCGACACACCAGCTCGGGGAAGGTCATATTTTCCTCAAAGTTCTAAATAAAATAAAATAAATTATGCTAGGTTATCAATAGACATGACATGGCTATAAAAGGTTGGGAACCAGTGTGACAGGGTGAAGAGAGCACTGTCTTACAAAAGCATAATCCTAATGGGATACATTGACAGAATGTGTCCTCCATGTGTGATTTGAACAACACATATTGCTGTGATGTGTGTGCTTCATGTCATTCAGAAACTATTTGTACAGACCTGCGTCTCTACAGGTGTTGATGGCTTTGTGTGTTTGACAAATTCCCAGTTCTGTGAGACAGTGACGTCACGTTTTATTTGTCTGAGAGATCCTCAGAATGCTCCCTTTGGTTTTTTCTAATGTATGTGTTTGGCTGTAGAAGCAGGAGTCTCGAGCCAAATAACTATGATTTCTTGTTTTTCATTTGTTTGTTTTGGAGTGAGGAGTGATGCTGTTGTGAAGTGGGTCTGCTTTTGTCTTTGAGGTTCACACTAGCTCCCTCGTCTCCGTCTGTGTTCTGTCACTTTTTTCTAGTGTGGAGTTTTACCCCTCGTGTCCTCTGTGTGGCCCCAAAGTGCACCAAAATCCTACTCAGCACTGTCATGATAAACCCTTCTGAAGATTTCACAAGCTGTGAATCTTTCAGTTATTAGCATTTTAAACTCTGCTTTAGTTCAAGGATGTATATGTTTTTCTCTTTCATTTGAATGCATTTCCATCCATCCATTTGCATGCATGTGAAAAAACCTAGATGTTGCTTAGGCTCTACTTGATCTCTCTTTCTTTCACTAATTAATTTCAATCCTTTTTATCTCCTCTTTTCTGATTAACACCATTCCTGCTGCCTCCTCTATTCAAAAAGTGGCACTTATCTCTAGTGTTGCGTTGCGTTGTTTTATCACATTATGTTGGTTGGCATGATTTTAGAGTCAAATAATCTTCCTGTGTACATCTTCTAGCATGACCCTCCTCCTCAGAGTTCTGCCTCATTTGCACATAGAGCAGTTTTCCTTAGCACGTAATCTGCCACCCACCCACCTGCGAGGTCTGCATGCACTGCACGCTCAACTCGACTGTGAAGTGGACAGGCATCTGCATATCGAGCCACAAGTTCAAACCTTTCAACCATTCACCTAATCTTGTTGAAAACTAAACCAAGGCTCAAAACTTAACTCGACAACCAAGCAATTCTATTATCCCACTTCTAATTGAAGCTTTTGTTTCTGCGTTCCTGCCTACTCACATGTTCCAAGTTGACTTCTACTTTTTGAAGTTGCAGGTCTGAAAGCTGTTTCTATTAGACTTGGGTGCTGTTCTCTTGTCACTTTTAACTTTATACAGTCTGGGACACCGAAACCCAAAGTAAAGTAGCGACAAGGTACAAGAAAATAGCACCGCTGCTCCCTGCCTGCTAACCATTTACTCACTCTCATTCTATTTTTCATTTGCTATTGAATTGCGTCAAAACTTTAATTTAAACTCCCTATAGTAATTTTCTATACTCCGTATATTTAAATGCAGCTCCGCATCTACTCGAATAAATTATTAATAAAGGCTAAGCAATTGCCTTCAATAATGAATGGGCCATGCAGCTTAAATATTGACTCAGAAAATAATTTGTAGTTATTAAAAGGTAATTACAGTTTGAGACTGATACATCTGTCAATGGTTGATGATGTAGCAGTTGTATCAATGCTTCGGGTTTTTACTCTAAAATTGCACCTTTCAGTGCTAAAAATGCAGTCTGTGTGTGGATGTCACATTGTGTGTGTGTGTGTGGGGGTTCTGTTGTGCGTGTGGGCGTGCATGTGTCTTTGTGTGTGTCTTGGCAACACATACATACACACACATTTTGAGTTTAGTCTCCTCAATCGGCTTGTTACTATGATTCGTCATACATTTAGAAATAGTTTGACATTTTGGGAAAGATGGACACCCATCTCATGTACAGTATGTCTGCTCAAAATTAAAGACTGGAAAACAGCTAGCCTGATGTCCAATTGTAACCTATTCTACCAGCATCTCTAAAGTTGACTTTTTAAGATATTAGATCTTGTTTTTAATTTATACAAAATATGACGTGCTGCAGTATACAGTATACCTGGGAGCAGTACGTTCATGGACTCTCATACCCTAGTTTGTACAAATTAACCAAACAAGTTGAGTGAAAATCGGTTATCTTTGGAAGTGCTTGTTGGCAGAGAGAGAAAAGAGCCAGGCTATCAGTTTCGTATTCTTCCAGGTTTTATGCTCAACTAAGCAAACTGGTGAAAAAGTGTATTTCCCAAAATAACCCACTTTTTGAGTTTTCTGCATAACCTAGAACAAGATATTGCTGTATTTTAAAACACCCACACAGTCCCTTATAACCAACTTAAATATCTGTGTCTAAAGATCCCGAAGGATTTGGGTTTTCTAAGCTTTTGAATTTGGCAAGTCATTTATATTTAAAGTTATAGAAACTGAGTTTTCAGGGGCTTTAAATATTCTATGAGGACAGAAGGCAATGAAAGTAAAAAACGTTCTTTTTCACCTTAGATTTGAAATACATGACACAAAGAAACAAACCCACTTTACTGTATCTTCTTATTCTTTTTAGCTTTTATGATTTGTTTCTTTTGAACATTACTTTAATCTTACATTAACGTGCAATGTTTGCGGATTCTGAGTAGAGAAAAGCAGGGATGTCTTTCTTGTGAAGTGGGATGGAGACTCCACCTTAATCCTCACTAACTTGATATACTGTGCACCTGGGTGAAAGGAAAAGTATCCTCACATGTCTTCTAGCCGGTTTTATTGAAGTGATGCTTGAGTACACACACGAGGATGCTTGAAAGTTAATGTTATTGTCGTACTCTATGTTTAGATGTTCTTTATGTGTGTCATAAAAGGTTAGTTTTATGTTACAATGTCTTGAGTATGTGTGTGAGTGTGTGTTTTGCTGGAGAGTGTTGTGTTTATGTGTTTCAGCAATGGTACACTGCCACCATGAACCTGCTGGGGACCTGGCTCACTGAACGCATGGAGCAGCAGCTCCACGTCTACCAGCTGAAAATTCTCATCAGGATCACAAAGGTAATAATAATAATAATAATAATAAAGCTTTATTTAAATAACACTTTTCATACAACTCATGCAGCTCCAAGTGCTTTACAAAATGACACATCACAAGTTAAAAACAAACAACAAGAAATTCCCCTCAGATTATTTGTTAAGAACTTTAAAATGTACATGCAGCAAAATTTAAAATGTTATCAGATAGACACAAGGAGGTCAAATGTATGATAATAAAAATCTCTCTGACAGATAAGACACAAGACAACTGAGTCGATGCAACAATATAAATTATAAAATCCCATAAAACAAAGTGAACATTTAGGTACAACAGAAATACAAATAACAAGATTAAGACCTTTACTGTAGGTAGCACAGGAACCACCCGTCAGGTTCAGTACACTTCCCAAATACACAGAGCTGATTTACCTCTGTCCTTCTGTAGAAAAAGTACCGGGACTTCCGCCTGCAGGGGGTCCTCGACTCCACCCTGAACAGTAAGATGTACGACACGGTGCGCAACAGGCTGACGCTGGAGGAGGCCACGGCTTCAGTGAGGGAAGGAGGCATGCAGGGCATCTCCATGAAGGACAGCGATGAGGAGGACGAAGACGATGACTAGAGCCTGTGCACTGACACTACCGCCATCTCCCCTGAGCCCCCTCACCCCGACCCTCTTTCACACTTTTGACTTTAGCCTGGTTACCGATGCATGTACCAACTCAGATAGCCACTCTAGGACCTCTTTGTCAGCTCGAAATGCCTATGAAGGAACTATTAACTATAAAAAAAATAGTACTTATAATGAGGAAAAATAAAAGAAAAATGTTAAAAAAAAATAACCATGATTGGCAGTTTAGCTGTGTCATGATAAAGATAGCACCTATCTTTGATTCATTCGTTTCAAAATTCATTTCTATGTGTTACTAAGCAATATGGAGAACCATTTGTTTGACGATGTTGAGTGAGATTATTAGGTGTGTCCCTGTCCAATGCAAACCTATATGGCGCTTCTTTGTCGTATTCTACATTCATTAATGGTACATTGTCGTGATGAGTGTGTGGAGCCTTTTATTTGTCTTGTCTGTTTTTAAGTGAATGCCAACTGCTTCAAACTGAAAAATAAACCTCTGTATTTGTTTACGGCTGTTACAGATACATTGTTGTCTACTCACTGTTATTAATATCAACAGTTTATCTAGACCTGCATTTCTATCATGTGTCAATGCTCTGTGATCTTATCTCAATTACTAATTAGACACGATTCAACAGGAATCATGAACTTCAACGAGTGGGTATTCTAGAGATGCAATATTCTCATAGCTCCATTTTGATAACTTGGGAGATTCTATTTTTATTTCAACATTAAAAGGCCTTGAAACAGGTTCTATTTTAATTGAGTTGCACTTTTACAGAGAAAAGAGCAGAAATATTTTTTTTTATTAAAAAAGAAAAGTTGGTCCGTCTTTGTTCTGTAATTGTGTAGAATGAGATGTCTGGCATTTGTTTGGGTCTCACTGTTGTTTTGTATATATTATATAAATATATATATAAATATAAGATGCTGTACATTGCATTCTGAGCCATCGCTGCATGCCTGTGGGTTCCCACCCTCCCCAAACGCTTTCTGTTTTCTGTGTGAATTAGCTGGTGGATTCATTCTTGCTTTTGCCTTATGAAAGCCAACAGTTGTAATATGCAAGAGCTGTGGCTTCTAAATAAAAATTACTGTACATGTGCATCTGATGTCATGTTTACTGGGTGCATTTACACCGGATACACAATTATAGGTACACTGAGCTGTGTAAGTGGTGGTATGGCGGTGTTGGAAAGGAACATTAACTCAAATAGGCGACTGTACTTCAGCTACTTCCTCTCTGAGTCACAACTCATTCACACAGACATGAAGTGGACATTTTTAGATACACTATCGCTTACACTTTGTAAGGATATTCCATTTGGAAGAAAATAAAATGATATGATGCTCTTATAACACCAGCACTTGCATAATATTGTCACATTTTAGGTTTTCTCCAGTATTAACTTAATCCATGAGTAGTGGTCAGTTCAACCTTTGATACATTGCAACAGGAACGGCTAATAGCTATTTCAGTACTACATCGTGTCAAGTTCCCAAAGAGCCGACATATAGGCCTAAAAAAGAGGCTCAGGTTGTAGCACGGCTAGTGTAACTCAACTCATGTTAGTCTTACATTTCCTGCCACCATATACTACAATGTTATTGTACTTTTGAATTCCCTACATTTGTTTAATATCCAGTTTCTAAAATAGACTACAACACCTGTGGTCATATATAATGTACACTTAATAAATGCTATATGATAGAATAGTGTATTAAATAATGTGAGATAGCTCCACCTTAACAAGCTACATTATTATCATGCTGCCTAAGTGCATTTTGATGCTAATACTTCTAGTTAGTTACATTTTTGAGTATGTTGTATTGGAGCAAAGCATCTTCCACCACTGTTGTTTGGTGACAGACTGCCAGCAGGGGGCGACAGTATAAAAAGGTTGCTTATTTGCTTTTTCACGCCATTAAACTCCTCCATTTGTATTCCATGTACAAGGATGTTGTGCACCCGAACCCAAACTTTATTTCATAAATAGCAATACAATGTACCTATTAAATGACACTATTACACTATAATATGGTATATGACAGCATCATAGAAATATATGGCTATGACACATCATATAAACATGTGATATGATGGACAAAACCATTTTATTCGAATTTAACGTTACAAAATAGACTTCACTACCAACCTAGGAGAACTATACTGAACTCACACACGGGATCCCTGGACCGTTCAGCAAATGTCAGGAAATATCTGCTTCAAATATCAGCGTGGACCTCGAAGGGGCCGGTATGACTGCGGGGGGTTTTCTGTGGAGATTTGGATAACACATTTCCCACAAAACCGTTTCATGGCCACTATACAAACCACATATTTGTATGAAAATATAAACCTCTATGATCACAAAGATTATATAAGAGTCAAAGACATTTTTTTTTTCTTTTTTTTTTTAGTTAATGTGTTTTGCCACCGTACACATCAAGCGTAGAAATATCAAACAGAGAGGCGATTGGTATTCATAAGAAACACCTAGGATATGTTTTGTTGCAGTTAAGTGATCAGCAATATGGACTTTTCTCCAAATGTTGGAGAGTTTGAACTGATTTTAGCAACTCCCCTTTGTCAGAGAAGAGGGTGTTATTAAATAGTAAAATGATACACATAAATCAATCAAGAGAGAGGGAGGTTCAGGGTTTAAAAGGGCTTATAATTAGGTCACAAAATAGTGCCTTGACACAATATCGACCCAAATAAAATACGTTTTACAGTCTCAATTTAAAATATTGTACTCTGATGTTTACTGTAAGATAAGTTCCCAAGGCTGGAACAGAAACATGCTTAACCTCTGACAACGATAATCTGCACTTCAAGGTTCAACAATCTTGATATTAAATGGACTAAATAGATCTCAGGACAAAACCACCTACATGTTGCAAACTGGAACCACATCTTTGGTTACAAATAAGCCCCCCACCCTCCCTTACAAGAATATACAGTGACTTTTAACACATATTCACCTCCTTTGGATCTTTTCACGTTTTATTTATTTACACGTTTGTATCACAGTGGATGTAATAAGGATAATTTTTACACTTGTAAAAGAAAAAGACTCAATTGATTCACAGTTGTAAATTAAGTAAATGTAAAAAAAAAAAGTCATATTCACCCTCACTATGAGATTGAATTTCTCACCGGTGCAGCCAGTTTGTTTCAAGTCGAATAGAGACTGCTGAGTGTAATCACGCTGCGACACATTTTTTTTAGGTTAAATATTTCTGGAAACCATAGCTATTAAGTACATTTCCAGGCAAAGACTGCACCATGAAAACAAACATATACTTAAAGAAAATAGCTTTAAAGATGTAATCAATTAGGGGGAAGGAATAACAATTCCAAGGCACTGGAGATTCCACATACACTTATAGAAAATTAAAAAGCAGTATGGCCCAGCTCTTAAAAATTAATTGTGGTGAAATGAAGGGCAAGATCATTAGCGAGCCTTTTTGTGACACATCGGCTAAAACATACCGTCCTCATCAGGAGGCCTGTTAAGGATACTTCTCTGCAACAGGCCCCTTCAAGGCTTAAGAAGAAGTAGACGGTAATATTGATGCAGTAAAATATAAAGAAGTCCTGGAGGAAACTCTGGTTCTTTACGTGGGAAACTGCAAAATTATTTTTTTCATCAAACCAAGGACAGCAAATATTAAGCCACAGCTATGTCTTCTCTTAAGAAGCTGTTAAAGTCTGTCAGTGGCCAGGTCAGAACCTCAATTCAGTCCAGATCAGTGGCAGGATTAGAAATGTTGCTACCGCTTTATAAAATTGAGTTTGACAGGGCAACGTGATAAGCTGCAAACGTGTTAAGATGTCCAAGGCTATCCACATACTCTTTTTTGCAATGAACTAAGATCAATGTGTTGACTTTTGTTTTCACTTGACATAGTTTTGTCTACTGATTTTCATCCACTGTGATTTGATGTTGTAAAACAATAAAACATGGAAGTTTGTGTGGGGTGAATACTTCTTGTAGAACTTGTACTGTTTCAATACAGATACCCATTACATGTGTTAACTGTTGAGTTTTGACAGTTGTGGGTAAAGAAGCTGTGAAAAATGATGAAAACAATTGAGCTTTGTAGATTATTCATGGCAGTCTCATAAAAACATGAATCTACATCAAGGCCAGTCAACAAATAGGCAAAAGCACTAAAAAAAAAAGAAAAACATTGGTTGGCTATTAAGGATATAATATATATATATATATATTACAAAACAATATCACAATATAAATCCCTGTAAAAAGCAATACATGTTCACATTAGATGATGTAACACAATTTAACAAAATAAGCCGTAAGTACATTATACAAGACAGCAGTGAGATACTTGGACAATATATGAATATTAAGCAGGTAATAGTCTCTTAACATGTGATAAAGAGTTTCACCCAGATGGAGCGGAGCCTCAAAACGCTTCGAGGTCGACAAAGTGACATAATGCGTGCTGGGCTACTTTGTGTTGTAATGTTTTGTTTGGAGACACTTTTCGAAGCAGATCGCATTATTTCCTCCTGGCCTTCATGCTTCAGGTTTGTCTTATGTGATCCAAAGATCCTGGTCATGTGATGATGCCAGGATTGAACTGTTAAACGTCTTCATTCACTTGATTTAGGCAGTAACACTGATAGTATAGTGCAAACTGGACAGAGCTGCTTTTCCCTCACGTCAACTCAAACAGGTGCAAACGCTCAGCAGGATAACATTCAAGACAAGAAAAAAAGGACGAAAACATAAATATCAAAAGACTTTTATCAGTATAAAAAGTAATAAGATTATTCATTTAATCAATAGTCTGGCAGAAAAAGGCCTCAGAAAAGTTCTCGAGTTTTTACAAATTAAGTGCCTGTGAGGACGTCCTCAGACGAGCGACTCCATGCTCTCCGCGGGGTCCGACTCGTCTGCGATCACCACCACCCCATTAGTGTCCATGTGCATGGGGCTCAGGCCGTCCTCTCTGTTACCCACCAGGCTGAGCATGGCTTTGTAAAGGTACTCGTACTGCTCCTGTGCACATGAACACAAACACACAACACTTAACATCCCAGATCACATCTTACAATATTCTACAGAGCTGTGACATTTCTTTAAAAACACGTCTTTAGTTTGTTGTAGGGCTGCAACAAACGACTAATTTGATAATCGATTAATCTATCGATTAATGAAACGATTAATCGATTATTCGGAACGTTAAGGTTTTAACTGTACTACTTCTTATATCAATACTGCTTATCGATCCGGTCCTTTTAACGATAGTATTAACGGTTCTTTTGACAAGAAATAAGGTAAACTAACTCAACAAATTGTGAACAAAACTAACATTGCTTTTTATTTTAATTAAATGCATAATATTTCACATCAAAAGAAACAACAATGTTTTAACAAATCATATTAAATAATGTGATGACAGAACTGTAAACAGAATAGCTGAAACTTTAACAAAATAACTCAGTTACCTCTAATCATTAACCTATGTTTTTATAACTGAGTTAACTCTGTGTGTTGCTGTTAGCATACATAACACCTGACGTGGAAAGGTTACTCTTGGACGGGGCTACAGGGCTACTAGAAAGACAGTCGAACCCGGTGCATTTCTCCGTCTGAATGTGGTGCACTTTTGCTAAATGTTTAGACAAATTGCTCGTTTTACCGCCTTTATATGATAAACTGTTATTGCACTTTTGGTAACGAGCATTGTCCACATCGAGACGGCTAAAGTTTAACCACACCTCGGAGCGCGTTCTCTCCGCCATCTCCTGCGTGTGTGTGTAAACTGCCCCGCCCCCTCGCAAGCAGGCGGGGGAGAGATCGCTCGTCTGAATTCGGAAGATCGAAAATACATTATAGACGCATTTTGTAGTCATATTGCATATTAGAAACTGAGTTGGCGACACTAAGACTGCGATATAATGTTTATGTAGCAATAATACATAACATATGTTTTTAAATGTCTCCTGTACCGATACAAAAGAGCGATAACGTTGGAGCTTAACGGGGTGTAGAACACATGTGATGACGTCACCAACGAATCGACGACTGAATTAGTTGCCAACTAATTTGGTAATCGATTTTAATCGATTAAGTCGATTAGTTGTTGCACCCCTAGTTTGTTGGCCACTTGGGGGAAGCAGAACAAGCTGTAAACACAACATTGACATACAGTATTATCACCTGATGTTAACAAGGCGAACATGCTACTAAACAGTTGCCTTTGAACTTCGAGCAGACACAGAGCTACTTCGGCATTAATGTGGAGATGTGTTTATCCACCTAACGATGCATTTAAGCTCTTTCCACCAACTCCTGAAGGTAGACATCCATCTTGTTAGCTACTAAATGTTCAACCACTTATAGTTGCTGACTGGGTCTGTCTGAAGGTATTTCAATATTATGTCTCAAATTTGAAACTGCTGACCCAAAATCCCTCTGGTTTGTATTTGACATAAAAGTGAACGTACTATATCTGTAAAGACGCCTGGTCTCATGATGTTGATCATCTTCGCCACCTGATAGATGTCGACGACGCCCTCGTTCTCCAGCTGTTGGGACAGTGTGGTGAGGGCGCAGAGCATGCCCGCTGAAACGGCTCCATACCTATGAAGAAATGTTCAAAATCAGCTATTATCAGTCTAAATCAGTCTGGACTTACTGTCCAGGTGCTCTGAAACAATGTTACATTACACTTCATAAATCCTTAGTTAAACTCCATTATAAAATGACAATGTCTTGGGCTTTAATGTGTTGTGTGTGAGTCTTGTGTGTGATTTAATTGTTTAGATCTCATCCACACTAACTTCTTCACACATCGGCAGTTACTTGTTTGCAGAGAATATAATGTTAATAACTTCCCAGTCTGCAGTTAAGCAACTAAGTCCTTACAGATTGTTAGCAATTAGCATCCCATCACATTAGCCTCTGGTGTAAGCAGTCGGGGAGACGGAGTGGCCTGAAGTCTGAGACAACCACAGCTACAGCTTTAGGTAAATGAGGGATGAAGTGTGATTAATTATCAGGACCTTCGGTGGCGGAGAGTATTCAATTAGCGGATGTTTTCACTAACAGCAGCAGAGGTGCTGAAGGCACAAAGGTCTGTCGGAAAGACATCAGCTGGGAACTGTTGTGAAAGTTGTTATGGTTGCCTGGTTACTGAGAGACTTCAGAATGGCACTTTTGTTTATCTTGGTAGTCGCCTGTAGATTGTCGGCGCTAGCATTAACAGGAGGACACTCAAACCCCGAGCTATGGAGAGCACTTCACATTTAGTGGCTTGTATTTCATCCTCGTAGTGCAAGTACTACAGTTTAATAAGGACAAGTAAAAGGTAATTAAACATCAAGGGATTCATGGACCACGTCTGAACTGTCTGAGTCCAAGTTCAACAATGTGTATTACAAATATAATTGATATTGATTAATCTATAGAGTCCTGGATTATTCTATCACTGAATCGTAGGTAGACGTGTACTGTCCCTGTGCTGACTGAAAACAACTTGGAGGTAAACATACTCATCGTGCACGATGGTGGGGCCATCTCGAGTCATGGCCTCCTCCTTGATGACATTGATGAGCTCGAAGGTGCTGCTGAGAGGAGCATCAGGGTTGGGCCATTTAGGACACTGAAAGTGTCTCACCTCCAGAACGTAGTCGTCCTGTCCACAGAAAAGGAATGTCACTCGTAGGACACACATGACAGAAGATGATGTGATATTTCATTGGGACTCTACAAATGAAGTCATCAGAATCACATCCATCTAAGGACGGTACATGTGGGTCCCGGGTACCTGAGTGGCCTCCAAGATGAAGTCATGGATGATGATCTGCTCCTCGTTGGAGAGGCACAGTCTGTCCTTACTGATGAGTGTGACAGTGAAGGCGATGCAGTTCATGGACTCCTCCCGACTCGGCCAATAAACAAATTCATCCTCAGCCTGCGGAGAAACAACGTAGCAATCTTAATTTATCAAACTCATTCGCTATTTGTTTTTATTTTGGTTAAGCTGTCATTATGCTTTCTGTTGGTTTGTAGACTAGATTTCAGTGTTTCCTTATATGAGGATTATAGCTATATAAGGCAAATCCAACAACAGATTAAGACCGTTATTGTGTTAGTTACCAGGCCATGGTTGTCAGGCAACATGACAATTATTTGAGCGTTGTGGTCCCAAATCATCCTCCAGAAGTCTGTGGTGGTGTGGGGCAAGGGATGCTGGGTAACGATGAACTCATTACTCCTGAAGTAACCCTGAAGTGAGAGATGGGAGCTGTTAGCCTTTCCGAAGCTCACAGCACTCAAACTGATCGATGTCTTTGAAAGCTGACAGACTGCTGATCATTTTCTAAGAAACTGTCATCCAAACTGTCAGACCTGTCAATAAAGGTCTACACACACACAGTGAGCAGTGAAAGGGAAGCTGGGCTAACACACTGTACCATTACGTAGGATGCATTAATGTAATCTGTTCCTTTCATTCCGGGCAGAGTGGCAAGTCCGACCCTTGCTCGCTCCGCTGAAGAGAGGAGAAAAAAAAAAGTATTAAATTGCAGTGTTACACTGGCTGATAATGCACACATTCATTACATGCCCTAGCTGTTACTATAGCAACAAGTAAGTCATTTTCCCTGCCAGGGTGCAGAGAAAGCATAGAAAGATTCATTTATAGCATTATGGAAATATAATCTAATTTTGGAACAGGAATTGTCTTTAATAATTTACGGAGTGGAAAACAGGAAAATGTAGAAAACTACGAGACTGAGTAGTATTTTATTCAATTTCTGAAATGAAAGAGGCAATGAAATAGTATGTTATACAGTATAGGCTTTTTGCGTGTCAAAGGTCTGCAAAGGAAAAAAATGTCTCTCCCATACACCCCAAATGTGATTTTAACCTTAAAATGTAACCATGTCGTTGAAACCCACTATCACCAGATCTGAGTGCAGATTCCTGAAGCTTTACTCTACATGTTAGACATGACCTTGGTCCTCCAAAACCTCAGCTCTATCACAAGTGTGCTGTGGTATTACAGATAAGATACTTACAGGGAACCACTGAGGAGTTGCGGTTTTTCTCCTTGTTGCAATCTTTGTGGGCACTGAAGCACTCCACAAAGCGCGCGTTGCACTGAGTCAACAGCTGGTGAGACAGAACCAAAAGACTACAAGTTACAAAAAAATAAGCTTTTCAGACTCACTGTGCCATGGAATCATACATTTAAAAAAATGACAATGTTGTTTCGCACCAAAGATTAAGAGCAAGTCTTTCACATTAATAATGTGCATGTGGAGCCCTGGAGGAAGGGACATTATTGGCGAGCAATTCGTTTCCCTCTACTGATGTTGACTGAGCAGGAGCTTGATGAAACATTCATCAAGCTTTGCATAAGGCAGCAGGGGTGACAGACATGACTTTATTGCAGCCACATCAGAGACGCCTTCAATCTATTCCTGTCTGGGAGTGGAAAGCCACCGTGCACGTTGCTAACAAGCTTCTGATCCAAAAACAGCTTTGATTTCAGCTGACGGTGCCTCTGCAGACGGTGACAGCTCGTTTAAACGGACCAGTCAGACTCAGATAAACTTTACTCACCCTGAACTGCTTCTCCAGCATGGTGCGGCCTGCCGAGCTGGGGGTGAGGATGCTATTGACGTAACTGTGCAGCTGCCAGGCAGGCACCTCTGTGTCTCTGCTCATAATGAGCTCCATCAGAGCGTCGTGGATGAAAACATACTGTTCCTAAAGGGGAGACCAAAAGAGCACAAAACTATGAAATAGATCAATTTTTGTAACGATTTGAAAGAATGTTCAATGTACCAAAAGTTACAGCTAATTTCAGAATCATATATATACAATGAACAAAAATATAAATGCAACACTTTTATTTTGCTCCCATTTTTCATGAGATGAACTCAAAGATCTAAAACATTTTCTATATACACAAAATAACGATTTCTCTCAAATATTGTTCACAAATCGGAAAAAAAGGCCACTCTGAAACGTGCAGTTTTGACTATATGGGGTGGGTCCTGGGGGGGGGTCCGAAAACCAAGTCAGTTTAACCCTAACCCTAACCGTAACATGTCACCCACTGCCGAGAGAATCCATCCCACCTCACAGGTGTGGCATATCAAGATGCTGATTAGACAGCATGATTATTGGGTTAAACCCTAAAACATTTTGTAATGTGTCAGTGGGTGACATGTTAGGGTTAGGGTTAAACCTGACTGGTTTTCAGACCCCCCCAGACCCCCCCAATAAAGCAAAACTGCACGTTTCAGAGTGGCCTTTTATTGTGGCCAGCCTAAGGCACACCTGTGCAATAATCATGCTGTCTAATCAGCATCTTGATATGCCACACCTGTGAGGTGGGATGGATTATCTCGGCAAAGGAGAAGTGCTCACTATCACAGATTTTTTTCAGATTTGTGAACAATATTTGAGAGAAATGGTTATTTTGTGTATATAGAAAATGTTTTAGATCTTTGAGTTCATCTCATGAAAAATGGGAGCAAAAACAAAAGTGTTGCGTTTATATTTTTGTTCAGTGTATATAGCTGGTAAAAGGACAGGGCAATTTTGTATTACTTTATATACTTATATGTCAGTCATTATGTTTTAGTGAATTATATTCTGTATTATTAATTTGAATCTGCAAACACAAGTCCTCACTTGTACCTGATTTAACAGATAACCAAGAATAAACAAACGAAAGTTAGTTGAGCCTGAATTGAGCCAAAGCATACAACATCAGAAGGTGTGCAGACAGAAAAAAGTGAAGGTGGGAGGACACATAAATAACCTCAAACATCCATCAGTTAAAGAATCAAAGACATGGCTGTGGCCTGAGGACAGCCAGTGCACACATTCCTCTTTATCTTGGTGAGTGTATATTACTTTGTACTGAGCGTTCAAATGAAATTGCAGCAGGTATGTGACCTTTACCTGAGCCCAGAGTATCAAACTGAAAACATTTCGTAACTCCCTCTCCATCTTTAATCATAGATGACCTTTTTGATTAAAAAAAATGATAGTTTCACAACATAAGGTCGAAATTCGGGCTTCTTACCTCAGTCTGAACTAGGTAGTTGCGTTGTGTGCGGATATGTTTGAGAAAATCCAGGACGCTGACTGTGCTTTTGTCCTTCATCTGTTGTAGCATGCTGTCAATGACAATGTACGTTCCTGTGCGCCCCACCCCTGCACTGAGAAGCAAAGCACAGAGAAACATGAGCATAATGACAGGCCCATAGCTGTTAACCAAATCAGGGATTATGAGACGTTAGCACTTGCACAGTAGTTAACAGTCATTTAGCCTGAGTACTACAGTAAGCAGCGTACCTGCAGTGCACCAGGACCGGGCCCATGTCTGCGGTGCGAGCTGCTGACGAGCGGTTGATGAAGGTGAGGACAGGGAGGGTGTACTCCGGTACTCCCATGTCAGGCCACTGAGTGTAGTGAAACTGCACAATGATGCGTTCATTTAGCTTTCCCTTTGGGTTCCCCTTTTGACCCTAAAACATGAGAGAGAGACTTGTGACCCATTGCAGAATCGTTGTCCTTCACACAGGGAGGACACTATCATGGGCTGGCTGTATCAGCTGTTAGTTGTTTTAAGAACAAACTTAGCAAACACAATGTTATAACTAGCCTAAGTGGTAATATAATGCAACACTATTTGAGCAACACTCAAATAGGGATGCATCATTTAAGCTTTTATAATGATATTACCAGAACAACTTTTTTAAAAATAGCTTGTTAATAGGTTACCAGTTAAAATGTGACTGCTTCACAATGATGTAAACCAGGAAGATATGAATTACATACTACAAACACAACCCAATTGACCTACATAATATACAAATGTTATGTCAAAAAAATATTGTGAAAACTGGAAATGGTATGCACTAAAGTTTAATTTATGGCTTGGTCCTTAAAACTGTTATTTTGGACCAACTTACAGCTGGTTTTAAAATCTTTACAATTAGCTGGTTCAAACTAATCCAGGTTTAAAAAAAGTTATTCAAACAAAACAGATTAAAACAAGTTTGATGTTAAATTACCTTTTTAACTTTAGTATTCCTTATAAGGAAACGCCGCAGTGTGTAGCAGGCGTGTACTTTGGTGCTTTTCAGCGTCACTACAATATTCCCATACTGCTCGCTGTTCTCTGTCGGCCAATACTGGTCACATTTTCTCTACAGGACACAAAAGACATTATATAAAAATAATGAAATACAGCAAGGGATTTTCTGAGCTTTTTTACTTTTACATAAAGTGAACCTACTCGTCCTTTCTCCACCAAGTTGGTGATCATTATGATGATTCCCGTGTTCTGCTCCCACACCATTCTCCAAAAGTCCTCGAATGTAGACTTGAGAGGACCCTGGGCAGCTATATAAGCTCTCGGCCGGTTGTAGCCCTGAAACAGGAGAGTGGGAGAATATAGATGCCATCAATATTTGATATTATACCCACCGCTGATATAGCTGATATGGCTGGATTACTGACAAAGGTAGGTCATGAAATCCACTCCTTCAGCTGACATTCTGAATATTTATAAATCAATCAATGTTCTTGAAATCAATCTTTTTCCTCTGTCTGTCGGCGTTATCATTTTGATACTTTAATGTATATTTGCCTTGCTGGTGAATTTCAACATCTTTCTAACACAAAAAAGAAAACCACACCAGGACCAGCATTAGGAAAACTAATAAGCGGTTTGTAATACTCACATCCACGTAGTTGGCATTGATGTAATCCGAATGTTTGGCATCTTTCCCCGCCAGAGCTCGTAATTTCACCCTGTTGTGGTCGTCTAGGGAGAGCATTGATATATATTTGTTCAGATTATTCAACGGATGAAAACGCATTATAAAATCATAACTGGATTGCGCAGCAGTAGACGTCATAAGCAGATTTTACAGCTGACTCACAAGCCACAATGTTGATGTATCTGTTCTTGTGCTTGTTGTCAGGATGATTGGAGTGTTCTGATGTGATTTTCAGGTCTGCTGTGGAGCGCTGGACCTCCTGGAGAGAGGAAAATAGACAGAGATGGATATTATTAAATAAGTATAAAAAATGCGTTGGAATTCACCAATTAACAGTTTTCATGATTTTTCTAAAGAAACTGTCATTATTTCATGACAAGTACATCTTTCTATTTCCTTCTGTTGTCTTTACAAGGAAACTTTTCTTTCTTTTTCCAAACGAGGTCTCATCCGTCAGGAGCTCAGGGTAAACTCTACAGCAGAACCTTTCAGAAGAGATTCAGTGTCTCGGTCAAGGACACTTGAAAAGAGCAGATGCTTACTGCCACAGGGGCTTGAACCCAGGCCTCCAGTAAGACAGCCATCATCTCCTCTTCTTCACTACACCCTGCTGCACCCACCCGCCCCTAAAATACAACTAGAATTTCCAACACGGCTTCATTGTGATGCATTAAAAAAAAATTACGCACACAGACTTCACATCAAATGACCCCAATTAGAAGGAATCCTCTGGGGTCAGAGCTTTTCCTCGTTTCTTAACCTGGTTACACAGAGAATGTGTTCCCGTCCAGTCAACCAGCAGACAGACCTTCTCTAATTAACCTCCGTCTCTCCTGATCTTTTACTCCGTCTTTCTCTCAACCATCTGCTCAATACCCTGCTCACGGACACATGCATTAAATAATCTCTAACCGCTGTTCAGACCCAGGCCCAGTTGCAGACAACATCTGCAGAGTACAGGGGGAGAAATCAGTGCTAAATCATTCATCTGCTGGCAGTGAACTGTCCAGCCAATAAGGATTGATTGAAATGTACGACATGAACAAACCAAAAACACTATTAATGAAAAGGCCAATTATCAGTACATTTTAAAGATCTTTTGAAACAGCAGAGGACACAAACAAATAATTAAGGCAATGACATGACCACACTCACAGGATGACAGCTGCCAAAACTGTCCAATCAAAGAGTTACCTGTCAGTCAATATGACTCTTTGTTTACTTCTCATTGTTGGTTTATAATCAGTCAATGTGAGCAGACCAGAACTAAAAGGCAAACATGTATCTGTTTATTCCCTTTGTACAGACCAATTAAACACAACTTCAATTAAAAAACCCCATTAGTGTTATATTCAAGGTTAAGAAGGCTTTACAAATAATCAGTATTTAAGTGGTGTTGAAAGTGTACCTCAAACTCCTCAGAAAAACCTTGTAGGTTGTTCTTGTAGAGCTCCATGATGTGTTTGATAAACAGCTTAACAGGGATGGCCTCCATGTCATCTGCAGGAAAAAGACAGAACAGTTAGCAAAGTGCATGTTACTGTGTGTGGGAATCTAGTGCATTATTAGTGTTTGTTTTAGTCACCTTTTATTCTGAGATTGTGTGCACGTGTACATTGTGTGAGTGTTTTGGCTGTAAACATGGCAACCAAACATGGAAACCAATGTATATCATATATTTTTTCTTTTCTGAAATGTTATTTATTTAAGTAAAAGAAAAGACTAGATCATCCATATTGTGCCACTTTAAGAGACTGAACGTTATTACAAATATCTAGATTTGGTATTTGGAGCATTTACAGGAGGTAGCATCTTTCTCATCTGAGTCAAATCAGCCCCACATCACACAAGAAGGATCTTTGATAAGGCTGGTCACCATCACACTGGAACAATAGGGCACGGGACCCAGCTGTCATTGCTGATGATAATAGTGAATGTCTTAACTAACACACCCTCGCAGCTGGGGCTTTAAGAGCTCTCACTTGCCTCAGTGGTTTCGGCATTAAGGTGGATTCTGGATTCTTAATATGTTCATTTATCAAAAATGCCACCCCCCGTTTTAGAGTCAAGAGTCACTTATCAGTCTAATCAGTTCTTCTGAACGGTTCTTGGTGAATTGTGGCTTTAGGAGCTAGACATTTAAATGAAGTGAGGGTGATTAGGTCCATTTTTTACTTGACTGGAGATGAAAACTGTGCAGAGATATGTTCCCATCATCACTGTGAGCAATACAATACTTAACAGCAATCTCATATTAAAATGTTCTATTTTAAACATGTAAATATATACACATATCAATGAGAGACACATTATGCAAATGATTAGCACTTAAAGCGTTACATTTAATTATCTTTGCACATGTTCAACATCAGGCACATGGTTAGTCATTCAGAATATATGTACTGCTAGAACATGTCCATAGTTTCTAAGAGAGAAAAAGAAAAAGACAGAAAGAAAAGAAGAAAAGAAGCAGACAGGGATATGGAAGGGAACAAACCTAATTAATGTGTAGTCAATACTGGCATCAACTGTGCTCTTTAACTGTGGTATCAAAGCCTTGAAATGTCGCTGAGCTTTAAGCCACTGTGAAAGTAAAGTCTGATATCGACTATCTGCCACTGCGCTGTTGCCTGGGACATTAAAGGCAACAAAAAGACAGTCACAAAGTTCTTACAGAGGTTTTCACCAGAGCCATTTCACATGTAAATGGACTGAAACTGTGCAGCCATCAAGTAAACAGAGAATCACATTGACAACGGTTAATCGGTGTTAGATGTGTGATGTAGTTCAAGAATACTTTTGGCCCTCAGTTTCAGTCCGAGAAATCTATTTTATTTAAGGGTAAATAACATTTGTTTTTGTGTTTACATTTAACCCCCAAGTCCAGTCAAATAAACTCAAGTGAACCCTCCTTAACACCAACATCAATTCAACCATGTCTCCATTAGTTTAAGTTTAACTTTCTACCTGTTAATTTCTTTGGTTTAGGCTAATTTTTTGTTTGTTGAGTAAGCCATTTTACCAAGTTTAGCCAATTGTTACATTTGTACGTTTAGCCATCTATTTTAACCACATATTAATTACTTTAGCTAACCTTTTAAACTGAATAACCACCACATTTAGGCAGCTGAGTTAGCCATTCATTGCATCAATTTATCCTTTATATAAATTATAATTTCTATGTTTTGCCAATTTATTTAGCTACTCCATAACTTGTACGCCAATCAACCAAGTACCATATAGAAGTAACCTTGGTTGAGAATAGCTCATCTACAAAACTTGCAACAAACTGTTTCTCTTATTATACTTTTACTAACAATTATGGACATATGAACAGCACATATTCTTATATAATGAGCCTTACCTGGTATAGGGATAATTGGTATATTCTCATTGGCCACCACCCGTGGAGAGCTGCTCTCCTCCACATAGAAGTGAGCTGTCTGGAAAAATCTCCTACAGGGACACAGAGAGAGAGAAGAACAGTGAGATGCCACAGCGAAGTCTATTAGGGAGTCGTTATCCTATTGTTCTCAGATCTGGTCTGTCAACATCAGCAGCTAAAAGTTGAATAAAGTGACACGGGAACAACAGAAAACTGCTAATGAAAGCCCCAGAGTGAGAGGGACACAGCTGATCGCACACAGAGTCGTTGACGCTGAGTTGCTCCTGGAAACATATTCTGAGCCGACTACAGGGAACAGGTAAACAACTCGCAGCTTCACACAGTGCAGCGCAAAATTTAGCTCTCTACTCAAACTCAAGACAACTAATCCAAACACAGATTCTCTCTTCGGGGCAAAACACATCACTTTCAAGAGATCCCTCTCCAGTTTGAGGACAACAAAATCTACTCAAGTCGCTTCTTAAGGGGAAAATGTGTGATATTGTGGCCAGCAGCTTCTACTCAATGATGATCATATGGCAAGGACAAAGTTATTCATCGAAACCAGACAAAAATGTTGATGTTCATTATTTTTCCATACACAATTCATGTTTCTTTCAAAAGCAAATCTTTGTTTGCCTTCTAATGAATAAATCCTCCCTACACAGCTCAAGGTTTACAGAGAAAATCAACATTCTAACATTAGTGAGATGTTTTTTCTCCATATAATACATGTACAAATATTGCTCTTTTGAGATACTGTCTGCAGGTGAGGGACCTTTCACATCCTTTCCACCCTCTTACACACACAATACAAATGAATTACTTCATGTTTTATCTCATTGCTGGCAGTTCAAAGGTTTAATCCTACCTGTACTTGATGCAGAGGAGGGAGCAGATGCTTGTCATTCTTTAAGATGAATAAAGCAAAGCATAGAGAGAAGAAAAAAAAGGATAAACTGTAAAACAAAAATAAATAAAAAAGATAAAAGAAAGAGAGAGGAAGAGAGAGGGAGAAAGACTGAGAGGGGAGGGTGAAAACCAAAAAGAAAGGAGGGCTCTCTCCTGGCTTGCGTCACAGCCTCGCAATCCAATTACTCCCTGTGGGTGCAGATGTGGCGCCGCTAACTAACCAGCAGAGTCGACACCTCCTCCCTGAATCGCTCCCATGATCTCAGAAGAATAGTTTGCTTTGGGGGGAAATAATCTAGGATGAAACAGTCTTTCAGACTGGATGTCAGGGGAGAGAGGCATCCCATTCAACACAGGCATCAGCAGCACTGAGTGGCTAATGTTTTTATTTTTCCTCAGTTGAACATCTGTGAGTGTCTAACACATATCTCAAGCCTCAGAGGCACCCAGATGTGTTCTGTAAACCCAGCAATTAATTCCATTGTAGACATAATCTAAGACCTACTTTGAAAATGAACAAGCTAAAACTAAGACAACGGTATTAAACTTTAAAACATGGCCCATTAATTACATCTTTTTTAAGTAAACATTAGATATTAAATAGATTGTGATGCTGATCAAAACATCTGTTAGTTTTTATAGCGACCATCACCAGAGAGAGATTATGCAGAGCATAAAGAGTGAAGAGACTGCGAAGGGGCTGGTCTCCTCTCTCATTATTGTCTTTTCCCCAGGGGAAGCAGGCATTGTCTGTGAACTGTCGGCATTGTAGCAACAACAGCTGTGTTGCTCATGACTAACATTAAAACTGCCCCTGCTCTACTATTCAAATAGCACAACTTTCAGTAGTGCACCGACTGAATTCGCTAGTCGTCTTTCTCTCAACGGTCTGTTCTCTGTGGAGCTCATAAGCAGGCTGTTATTTATACCACACTCTTATATTATATGACACCACAAAAAGGCACATTAAGGTGTTGTTGGCCCATAAAAACTGCTGCAGCAATCTCACACCTAGAAACATGTCCTTGTCCTTATGAAATGCATTTAACACATTTCATGTATTTACACAAATTAATCTCAGGCAGTAAATAAACAAAATGCTACCAAACTAAAAGCAGACAGTAAATATTCATGGGACTAGCTGAGGAGATGGTCCACAGTGCTATTTGTAACTCATTAACCATCCCACATGTGCCAGTGGCCTGGCCTGTGTAATTACTGGGGCTCCAATAGAGTGGCTGGAAATGAGCCCAGCAGATGAAGACACAGCTGGGACCCCTTCTGGCTCTGCCGGGCCTCCAGCTCTCCTGACCCTCACCCAGGTGGGTGATGGGCCTGATGTACGACATGCAGGCATTAAAGCAGTCTTGCCAGATTGTTTAAGATTGATGCACTCACATACAAAGATGTGCAAAATACAGACGCAATCAAACCAGACAGGTCTGAATGTGGAGCAGACTGACTGGGAAATCCAGACATGCATGCAGGCGTGTCACTTAACCTGAAATGTGAGATTTATGGATGGGGGTCAGTGTGGGTGAGGGGCAGCTAGTTTTCCATACCCCCGAGGGAGGTCTCAGTGATACCCTTAAATCAAGCAGAGGATTTTCTGTATGCATTACCACTTTATGCAAAGCTGTTTATTGTTCCCGCAAACTTTATTTTAGATGTATACATGTTTATAAAAAGGTAAATTGAACTCACCTCCAGTAGATCATCACGATCAGCAGCATTATGAGGCAGAGCAGTGTGAGAGCGGACACCACCACCAAGGGGACAATCCACACCATCCTCCCCATCCCCGGGTGAGGGACCCGGGTCACATTGGACAACATGGTTGTGTCTGGAAAGTAACACATGCATGTAAATACATGCACCAATCATACTAAATGACATTTAATTTCCAAACTTGAAAGTGTCCGTGTGTAGGGTTTTATGTATTTACAGCAGTTTTAAAATGAAAGGTGACCTATCATGCAAAATGCACTTGTGTACGTCTTTTATACATGAATATGTGTCCCCGGTGTTCCAGGGAACTCACCAAGTCTTCAGAAAACACGACCCTCTCTCTTTCCCTCCATACCCAAATCTCTAAAAAAGGGGCTGCAACGGATCTGATACAGACTGATCCAGATTTTAACACTTTTATGATGTCACAGAAGTGGCGCTACGGCTATTGGGCCAACTCCACCAATCAGGAGGAGACAGCCACGGACATTGCCGTTCGAAAGCGCTGGAGACGCTGTAGTACATATGCCAGGCCTGTAGATGATGCTGTTCTCACAGAATCAGCCCATGCAAAGACAGTGTTACATTGAGCGAAATGAGGAATGGCTAAAATGCATGATCTGTTTGGTATTTTGAAAAATAAAAAGTATAAATATGCCTTATATAGGTATGGTCCTACACTATATTATTCATGATAGGTCCACTTTAAGTTTTAGTTTGAAAAAAACATCTTGCTTTTAGCCCTTTATTCCATGTCTGCAGGACTGATAAAGGAGAAGAGGGGTGTATTAGCATGCAGATGTGTCTGCTTAAGTGTCTTTTTTGATGCCACCACTGGGCGTCGCCAAATTTAAAAGATGTTTTAATTCTACACATACATGCATAAAACTTAAGTACTTTTCATTTTATATGTCAACCTGAGCTAAATAGCGTAGTTTAAAATACACCTATACAAAATAATAAACCATATGATCATTGTGGTTAAAAACATACATAACCTTACAATGAGACACCTTTAACAGCAGAAAAAAGACTGTTCATGATAAAAGGGTAAACATTCTGGCGAAATATCTTCCGATAACCTCAAACTCTTTTTAAAAATGCTTCAAGGGATTACTGAAGGCAGAACCCTGTGGCAGATGACTTAATTCTGCCTTCAGGCCTCTGCGTGGTAGTGAAACAAAAGCCTGGAGCATTATCTTTGACTGAAATTGTAACCAGTGTAGTCACTGTCTTAAATCAATGTGTTTGTTATTCTACAATGGGCTCCGTAACTGTTGGTAGTTATTTTAAAATTCTGCTTTGGAGAAAAGCCCTGTCTTGTATGATAGCTGACAACAGGAGACAAAGCTTTGCAGTGAATTCAAAAGGGCTGAGCCTGTTTGTGAAGGTACATCAAACAATACTGATTGGGAGAGAGGTCTTCTCACCAGTGTGTACAGAGAAAGGCCAGATACTCCTGCCATCACTACTGATTTTTGGGGACAGTGTAGAGCTCTGTGGAATCTGCATCTCTGCAGTGTCATTACGAGGCTCCTGAGTGGGGGCTGCATTTACATCAGTGAGATTTGTCTCTACGTTGACCAGCTCATCGCCACCGGTGCACACGGGCGCTGCGGTGCCTTTGGCTGTAGGCTTCCCTTCTCCTTTCTCTTTGGCTGTGGATGCGGGGGTGGGGATTAAAGGCTCTTTGGCCACAGTGCTGTTCGCCTGCTTCTTCTCATTATCAGGTGCAGGCTTGCTCTTCTTCTTCTTCTCATCCTCTTCTTCATCTTGTTCTCCTTCTCTCTCCCCCTCCTCCTCCTCCTCGCCCTCACTTGCAGCCTGCTTCTCCTCAGACTGGGTGTCTTTATCAGGGCCCGGGGCCGCCGCCTGCTCGGTGCTCGACTTGGCAGGCGGGGTGGAAGGACGAGTGGGATTCTGCGTTGCTGGGGGCGTCTGTGTGGGCCAAACAGAGCTGGGCAAAGAAGAGATGACCCCTCCGCCTACGCCCAAGCCTGCCAGCAAGGTGCTCGTCACCACCGATGCCACCGTGGCCTGGCTGCCACTAGAGGAGGGGCCCATCCCCGTTGCCATGGAGACAATGGAAAAGTGGATGCCAGAGGACGTCCAAGTGGATGAACCAGAGCTGATGGGAGCCATGTCTGCTGAGGACGCTGGAGAAATCGTGGGCTGACGGAGACAGGCAGAGGGAAAGTGAGCAACAGAACAACATGACTGGCACTTACATACAAAAAATGTGCACTGCCATCTTCTGGTCAACTCACCATGCCAGTCTTCACAATACGAGACCCTTCAAATATTCTTGTTGTATTAGCTGAGAAGCAAAAAAGCAAGCAAGCATTTTAAAATCCATTTCATGTGTCTGACATGGGAAATGAGTTCTTCTTTAAGAAGACATTTTGACTATATTGCTGGAGGGTTTTGGTCAGGTACCTCTGAACAGCAGTGTTTGGCTGAAATCACTGCGCAGGTCATGCTGACACACTGCCTGCACTCTGAACAGGTACAGCACTTCAGGGGACACATTAGTTATGATGGCTCTCTGCAAGAGAAAATACGCACATAAAAACACTTGAAACCAATTGAAAACATGTTGAAATAATGTGTGGATGAAAATACTTTGGAGACATCATGGTGTCTGAAATGGAATTACTAGCTGCTGTCAGCAGTGTATGACCCAAAACTTTGATTCAGTTCAAACCTCATTTCCTGCCTAATTTAATTGTGTGCACTTTGCAGATGGCTTTACTTATATTTAAATGGCCTTCAGAACATGGGTGATTGCATCAGGTGTTGGAGAGCTAGCAGCTCTCAAAAAACAATTCAGTAAAAGATCCAGATAAAAAAGGTGTCCAGAGATAGAAAGTGAAAATAGAATTGGGAATGAAGTGGGCAAAATAAGACAGAGTGAGAGCAGAGAGAGATGTGGAGAGAATACAGTCGGTAAAGAGCCTGATATAGCGCTTGTATTAATGGAGTGTAGCCACATATACTGTAACACTTCATGGACACATCAATCATTCCTTCAGTCAGCCATCTGCCATAAATGTAGAAAAACAACCTCATTTACACATCTCTCAACAAAAGAACTTTTTTTTTTATGACCAAACAAAGAAATTGTTGATAATAAACTCAATCTGATAATTGTTGAAGACAGCAAGTAACCAAATAAGACTAATTACTGGTCAATGCATGGGTTGAAGTATATAGGTTTAATGAACACGTTTTGAAGCCTCAAGCAAGTTCAAACCCAGTATAGAGGATCTCATGTCAAACTCACAGAATATGGAAAATGGAAGGCTTTGGCTGCGGTGAGATGACGGCTCTGCTAGAGGACCTCGAGGAGCAGTAAGGCTGATGAGGGGTAAAGGTGTGTAAATGTAGCTGAAGGATGCTGAGCGTAGCATGTAACCAGTACAGGGGGGAATTGCAATTGCCCACTTCTAAGGGACGCAGACGTTAAATTGAATAAATACATGTTAATTTATCTCCAGCTGAGGATAGCATTGGTTAATTTTAGTGAGGGAGTTTTAGACTGCAGGAAGCCCGATTGCTTATTAATTCCAACCTGCATGTCCATTGCTCATCCAATGCTTTGGTAATTAGTTTGTAAGCTATACATTCCTCTTTAGGCAGGTTTAAGAGGTAAAGATACACTCATAATCATTTGTTTCTGAGATTTATTTTTGAATAATATAAACTCCTCCTTTCAGTAAGAATCTACATCATGAATATGTAATAGTGTTTAAATATTAAACTGCTTAACACAAAGTGTTCACTAAAAGGTGTGGTGTGAGCTGCATTTTGGAGAATCAACATGAATACACCTCACTACCACAGTCTTGTTGGTTTTTGGTTCACATCAGTTCTGAGTTAAACAGTTTGATTAAAAGGCATTTGATGTGATACAATAAATCACATTGTGACAACTTATGGGATGTCAAAACAAGTTTAATTTCTGTGGTTCAATGTCACAAGACAGGAATTCATTGTATTGTCTCCTTTTAGACAATGATATTTCAGACCTAAAAACCAATAACTGTAATACATTACAGTAGTTCATTTTTATGAACCAGGTAATATCGTTTTAATTCAATTTGAGTTTAATAAAAAGAACAAACCTTATTTATTAGTTTCAGTTTACAAAAAATGTATCACTGCTTATTTGACTTAAATGTATGATATTAACCCTGCTCCAAACGACCAGTGGAAGTCAGTAGTGCAGCAACTCGCCCACCAGCTTCCCACCCATGACGATGAGAACTGTATTTACTGGAACGCGTGCTGGAAGTACAGGAGTACTGCCACAAGGGAACTGATCCCGAGTCTCTGAACCAGTGGGGGGGAGCACTGCACAGTTTATATCTAAAGAGGCAGTCATGCAGCTGGGGGTCAGTGGGCTTTAAAGGAGTTGCACAGCTTGGTGTCGGAATTTCCTCAAATGGAAGAATGTGTGACCAGGGTGAAGAGTGTGCGTGAAAAATGAACAGCCCTGTAGGTGTGACCTCCTGCAGATGGGAGGATATATGTCTGCCAGGCAGTGAATGTGCTGTTTGATAGATACAGAAATACATGAAGTGGTAACTCAAGGCACACAACAGAAGTGTGAGTGGTGTCAAAAACTTGACAAACACTGAGATCTAAAGAATTACACGAGCACAGTTGCCTGCGTAGGTTGCTAAAAGACGACAGTTTGTGTTCAAAGAGCAGCCTTTCAATGCCTGAAACAGATCTTTTTTTTTTCAAATGATAAGAAGTTTCCAAGATGTTAAAGTAAAAAAATAAATATTTGATTTATGTTGTTCTTGTCTGATTTACTTTTTGCTGTAAGTTCTGTTTGAGCCTATAATGTACTGACCTGAATCTCAGAGTAAAATATAAATAGATGGGAAAAGATTTAACTGAGACAAGGCCACTGGCGCATTGTCAACACATTACATATGTATCAGTTAGACTTGTCATTGTGTGTGACAGTCCTGTGCGTCTATTCTTAGACAGGTAAGTGACAGAGACAGTACAGGCCCTCATTTCATGCAACAGCCCTGAGCAGAGGACATCACAACATGTCACCTCCTATATACACTGGGCTGATCCAGCCTCATACATCAGATACTGTGAAAACCAATCAGGACATAATAATACACACCATACTCTGGTCCCCAGTGTTGGTGAAGGTCATTTCGTTAGCAACTTCACGTTTCACCCAGCTGTAGGAGACCATGTAACTGGTGATGGGGGGGTGGTAGACGGTCAGAGGGCGCTCCCAGGTCACCATTAGCGCAGTCTGGTTGAGCGGCTGGATCTTCATGTTCACCGGGGCACTGCTGCACACTGTAAGTCCAGAAAGTAGAAGGGAGTGGGATGAAGAAGCAGCACAAAACTGTCACTTTCCACAATCTTCTTTAAGGCTGTTTCAGGATTACTGCTTGACCATATGTATTTGTGCCCATTTGTGGTTGCCTTTTTACAAGCCTATTATTACTGTCTGCTGCTTACTTGACTGAAAGCCATCACTTGAGGAACTTCTACAAGTGCACAATAATATAGTAACTCATTGTCAAAAAATGACTCCTGGAGGTTTAACTTGGGTCACGTACAAAACGAGTGTCGGTGCAGATTGTCATTATGGACATTTGTGTCATTTGTATGCCACAGCACGGCAAGAGATTCCATTTAGAATACTAAACAGCTGGGTGTAGTGCTAAACATGTGGTAGAGATAATAGTCCAACTTCCTGTCCATATGTAATTTGCAAGTTCCTGTCTGTGCAACATTAAACAGGATGCACAAAGGGATGAATATAAAAAGTAAGTAAGTCAGCCTCAAGGTGGCAGTGTAGACTGCAGATTGGATATTTACACATGGATCAGTCGGTATGAGTAAGGGACAATCTGGACATGCTATTCAGCACATCAGGGCAACAGCAATCATGAACCAGTGTCAGCTGATTATATGCACACAGGGTTTCTGTCAAATTGAAATTGTCACCACAGTTTTTTCCATTTACAAAGTGAAGCTATGGTGCAAATTATGCACCATGACATGTGAAAGGGAGACAGTGTGGGAGGAAATCAGTCAGAGGTACACAGGGGAAAAACACACACACACAATAGCAAAAATATCTTGGGGTGTTGATGAGGTGTGACAGGTGTGAAATGCATTATAACCCGTCGGATGTTCGTTGTCAACTTCAGTAGCTCAAAAACAGATATTTTAATGACAGCTGAAGACATCATCATGGTTCTACTGCCTGCATCATTACCATCATGTCAGCCACCATCCTTTTCACAATCAACACTAGAACACCGGCAACGATAATATCGACAGTAGGCGTGGATCTAAAGTACAAGATAAATATCTTATCAACACATATGGGGCAGCTTGAAATAGAACACGGCTGTGATTCTTGTTTGTATTTGTATTTTGTTAAACCTCTTTTGTACGCAATAATTGGGGCCACTTTTTTACATTTGGTTTACTGGTGAGCAAGCATGGAATGCTGTATTAATGAAAAAATCATTGATCTAAGGTAAGTGTTCATTTTATGAAAACCTTTTAATAAAATGACAGTTTGGCTGCGAAATGAATAGGTGCTGCAAAAAATTGTATGCAAATGGATTTGTCCTTTTATCTCAGATTCAACTGAAAAGAAAAACTTCAACTGAGACACAGTGCGATTTGAATGAATAGTTACTAATGTTTCATCACTGGCACAATTACTTAACATGGTCTCTACTGAAAAATCCTAGGAATTTTCAGACTCACTGTAACATCCAAAAATCAGCCTCATATTGGTTTCTCAGTCCACAATGGCACTCAGACAGAACACACATCTTCGACAGATCCTACATTAAAGTTGTCTACAAACAGCAGTAAAACTGATATCTCCTAACCAAGCTGTAGAATATATTGCAAAAAACAAACATTTAATTGAAAAACCTGATAAAGACGAATTGAACATTCATTCTATTTTATTTTATTTACAGGAAATGTAAATTATGTATGTCATCCAAGGGCTTAATAACAACACTAACCACAGTACTTAAAATTAATATTTTATCATAATGTGTGACTTGCTACAGCTACTGCCAAACTTTAACAGCAGAGAGAAATAAACTGACAAACAGTAAGATAACTCATTGCTTTATGATTTGTTTACACATATATACACTTTTATACATGTGTAAATCCACTGGTATTGGTAAAGCATGATATGGTTTTCAATGTACTCAGTAAAAAGAAAGCAGGTTCAAGGCTTTTTCACTGTTTACTGAAAGGTTTTAGATACAACACTTTTTCAGCTAATTCATGGTCAAAATAAAGGTCTGTTGCAGCCCTATGGACCATATCACCATTGACTAAATATCACAGTGCTAGAGTAATAAAGCAAACACTGTCCATTATACCACGGCAATATTACTTACCTATATGGTGCGTCAGAGCTATGCATCGCTAACAGGTCAACAACTTTGATGGCTGTGAAAACCAAATTGATGGAACATTCAGTCAAGGTATGGCCCTGGCTCTCAGAACATTTATAAGCAAAGCCATCCTTTACTGTGCACAGATAAATATCCAACCTTACACAACCTTGACAGATGCCACCCCTGAAGATAGGACTGACAGTGTTAACTCCCAGCGCCTCCTATAAAGTATGGATTCTTACATTTCAGTACAGTCAAATAGAAATGCACACAAAGAAAAGGAGCAAGGGGAGGGGGAAGTGAAGAAAAAATGGAGAGGCACTGGTCCACATTCATTCTGCCTCCTGACATAATGCCACAAAAGCAATTTCACAACTTAATTTGTATGGGTCTATTTTAGCTGTGCCACATATTAATGATGATTGCTGATCGGCCTTGTGAGAGTGCTCCAACTTCATCACAAGCATTCCCAATCAATTCTCCCCATCAGACACCAACAACACCACTTTAAGGCGCAGCAGCCTTTCTCATTAGTCTCCATATTTCCTGTACTGTTCGGTTAAAGCAAGCCACGCAAGATGCACACATAAAAGAGAGAAGAACACAAATACACTAATCATGCCCTGCATGAGGTCTGATCTTTGTATTAACATGTTCTTTGATATAACAATGACTTGTAACAATGATAAATGACATGTGTATTATGATGAGACCAATCTTTTTCTAAAACCACAACAAATGTTCAACTATTGATGTGGTGATTTTAAGCAGAATTAGCTCTGTAAGAAAAAGCCCCAACTAAAAATAATGACTTGCTTAGTCCTTGTTAATTTACTGACCTACTGATTAGAGCCAAGTCTGAATTGGTCTCTGTGCTGAGCTTAGCTAGTTAAGCTTCCTGAACATTGCTCCCAAACACAATCAATATTCTCAATTATTATTTTCACCAGAAAAAAAAAGGTAGGTTGGAAGATAAATTATGATCCTTAATGTCATTTACGTAGAGGTTGCAGATTTATATGGGACATGAGAAAATAAACAATTTCTGCGACAAATCCCACAAGGACTCAATATGCCCAATTTACTAGCCCTATGCAATTCATACTGTACACCCAGGGGTCTTGTGATAATCCTTTCATTCTTCATTAGTAAGGAGACATTACTTGATAGCTTGGGCAACAGTTTGACTGATTCAGTGGTCCTTTCCTCAAACAGTGATATAGTAGGAGTTACAGCATAAATGGTCATTTAAAGGGTTAGTTTAGTTCTAAAAAACAAGCAAATACGTTTAAGGAATGGATTAAAAAAGGTTGATTTGCTTGAACTAGCAGATGCAAGCATGTCAGGCTGACTAGCTTAGCAAATGCAAGTACCATAGCCCTTCCTAGGCCAAGAGTCAGCATATCCTTTTTCTTTATCATACTAATAACACTCCCACTTCTGTTAAATGCAGAGGTCACATTTCACTGTATGTGCTGTGTGTATGTATGTGTGACAATTAAAGAGGGTTTCATCATCCAATTCTATTTCATCCTCCAATTCTATATTTATTTCCCTTTCCTATGCACGTACCATTAACTGGTCAGGATGCTGTGTTTTGCATGAAACATCCAGCTAAAGCCTCAGCCTCTTACCACGATATCATGTAGACATCGCATCTATATTAAACACCCCTTGAGGGTTGTCATTTTAATACCAGTCAGCTGGAAACCTCAAAAAGACAGGCAACATTTTTAAATGGCTCATGAAGCTAATGTTACTATACAGCTAACAAACCCTTCCAGGGACAGTTGACATTTCAATCAAGAAAATCAATGTTCAATCGGCTAGAAGTGAGTCTGCTTTTGTTTGCCAATGTCTAAAATCCAGGACACATTGTTTAGAAAACAATAACAAAACAAAAACCATTATCATTGTAAACTACATATCTGCTTTGTGCAACATGAAAGGCATGTGCAACAGGATTCAGGGTACAAGTTTGTAAATTGCCAAAAAATGATCAGGTAGCTTTTGAATGGGATTCGACATAAGCGGATCTCTGATATAACTGCAGTTTACACAGTAATGAACTAATACTAACCGCTTACCTTAACTAAAAATGTAGGCAATTTGTTGTTTAGGAAGAAATTCACAGGATTGTAATCATTGGCAAAATCAGTGGTGCTGTGGTTAAAAAAACTGGGGGAATGTGATACAATGGAGGACAAAGCTTACCTCTTGAAGCCTCAGTGCTGTGAGGACTATTCAGGACATCGGTTAAATCTCTCTGCCATGCGTCCTTTACAGCCGACTTAAAGACTTTCCTATCATCCAGGTCCTGCAGGGGCCGGAAGTTGTTCCTCAGGTACTCGACAGACTTGACGTGGTCTTGTTGCTCTGTTGTAAAGATGGAGTAAAAGGCCTCCAGCTAGAGGGAAAGAAACAGAGAATAGCTATTGAAGCAACATTTAAGTGATAGTGTTACTATGGGTGTGTGTGTGGGGGGGGGGTGTGTGTGTGTGTGTGTGTGTGTGTGCGCGTGCGTGCGTGTTTTGAATAAAATATATATCATGCAGGACTGCATTTTTAGCCACTTGCCAGCAGCTGACTGTTCACAACTGCTGCAGAGTATTTCCAAGAAACATCCACACCACAGGCAGCAGCAGGCACAGAGCTCAATCATCATCCTGGCTACCTACTGGGCTGTAACTTCTCAATGGGGCAAATTTGTGGCCATTGATTGCCATGAATGATCTCCTGCCGCGCGCTGTAATGACTACATATTACAGATACTGGGGAATCAATGTGTCCTATGCGTGCTTGGTGAAATAAATTACAGGTTCATAAAAGACTATCTGTAAGCGTCACAAACATTGTGGCGCTGGTCAATATTCCTGCAGCAGATGTCATTTTTGAACAAAAGATTTGTCCTCTTGCAAGTTAATAGAAATTCCACTGAGCCCTGCACATTTCTACCGCACAGAACGCTCTAGAGAATACGCAGCTGAGTTACCCAAGAATTGTATGTATAAAAGATGCAGCAATGTACTGTGTATGGGATCAGCAAAAAGCATGGGGCATGATTTGGCATATATTATCTCTCAAAATCACAAAACCAGGTGGAGTTAAACTGCTGTAAAGCATATAGCCGAGTCCTGTAAAATGCTTCATTTTGCACTCAACATATGTAAAAGATGTACTGCGCTAATTTAAATTAATGATCATTTCTGTACTTGACCAATTTTAATTGTGTTATTAGCAGCCTCCGTGTGCAGCAGTATTATATTTAAGACGCTATAGGCTCAGACCAACAGCATAGTATATGCATGAAAGTGATCACACACTATCATTCCAAGGCGAGTAATTGGCTCGCCGTCCCTGCTTACTCATCCACTATATGATCAGCTATGGTTTCATATGCAGAGGAGTTGGGGAGGAACGAGGGAAAACGGAAAGAAGGAGGAGAGGTAGATGAGGGGAGAAATTGCTTGTGCGGTGAAAACTTGGTACAGCAATGATCCAGTGACTGTGTGCAAATGAAGAATGTCTTGGCATGTATGTGTGGGGAGCTAACACACCTGTGTGTGGGACAGATACACAGGCCTGGAGAAGATGATCCACTCCACCACCTTGATGCAGGGCGGGGTGGTCAGAGAGCCGGTGTATCGGTAGTAATTGTCCACGGACGACGGCAGCAGATCCCTCAGGACGAACGACCTGAGGTTTGTTTCCTTTTCTGGGTAGAGCATGGGATCAAAATGTGTCAGGGTACAAAAATAGAACATTCTTACCATCCATAATAACTTTACTGAAAACCCTGCATATCTACAGTTACATTTAGTCCAATGTTAAAATATATTTGTTTATTTCATTTCGCCCCCACCCTTTCCTGAACCTCCACTAGTGTAATTATGGTGACAGCAGTTGTCACTTATTATCACTCTGGCCAAATCTCTTTACACAAATATCTCCCTTTGGTCCTCCATAGAAAGGAGCAACGGGAGAGGAGTCAGATAAAATGGCCTGCTCTGACAGCTGATCCGTGGCTGGGTGGTTGCCTACTCTACGTGTAACAACTGTCACATGGGCTGCAGGGATTAAGACTGATCCAAATGATTACCGGCTCAGTTCTGTCCTCCGTGATCAGAACCACGCAAAGCTGTGTAAAGAAAAACAAAACAGAACAGCAGGAAGATCCTTTTATCCCCTGCAATTACGCTGTGTGGGTTATGCTAGTGGGCTTGTTATTCGCTTGAATTATGACATGAAAAACGCAAAAAAAGCGGAATTTATGTCAAATACAATCTCTCACAGCTCATGAACTTGTCTAAAACAGCAGAAGCTCGGGGTGATAGGACTGATATGACTACAGAGGCACTGGAAGCCTCGCCCCCATGCCTCATCTGTACTCAAAGTCAAATTCAGTATTCACAGCCTTTCTTCTCCCCGTCTTCAGACAGTGTACGTGCCCTATCGCTCATGGGCCGCCGAGATGCTGATGGATGGATGACTGTGGGATAACGAGCTAGCGGAAAACCAACCAACCTAACAGGGGAGGAGGCGAGGAGCATTTAGCAGCCAGCAGGAAGACAGTCCACAAACCACCACACCCACACTGAGCTCTCTCTCAGCCGGAAAATGAGATACTGCGGTATTAGCACGAACATCTGTGAAAGGGTTAGCCACTTTACAAGGCTGATGGAGATTCATAAAATGTCTTTGTACAATTACGTGTTTTGGCAACCTGTCTTAAATCAAGGTTGTGTAGCAAAAAAAAGCATACATACCCGTATGGAAAGGAAACCAGAGGGAAAATGGTTTCCCAGCTGATAATGGAGCAACCAGAAAATAGGCCATTTTCCTTACTGCAATTACTTCAATGGAATTTTGAGTGCAGAACATTCACTGAAAAAAGCGATCCATTTTCAGATTCTGGAGCAAATTCACAAGCTTTTAAAAAAACTCTACAGTGGTCTCTAAGTGAGCTTCCCCCCCCGACATGTTCTTTTATTGTCCTGCTCAGTCAGAAGGTTTTTTTTGATCAACGCAAAAGTCAAAACCGAACCCATTAAATACCAAATAACATCAAATACCCATCTCCAGGAAAGTACAGAGTGTGAAATTGAAATTAAAAACGGCTCATGAAGCCCAGCACTAGTGTGAAAACAGCAATAACTCTATGCTCCTATATATCTTCGTCCAGTTACATGTCCTTGTCACTGTGTGCTTATGCTCACATAAAGACCATCAGGGGCAGGTTGTAAAAGAAGCCATACGTGTCTGTGTAAACAGAGTTGCTGTGTCCTAAGAGGCAGTGAAGGATTACAAAGTCACATTGAAACATCTGTTTATGGTCTGCATAAGTCACGGATGCAGTAAACGCAGCATAGCAGCCAGAAATTTAAGAAAACATGCCATGAACAGACATTAACAGTTTAAGTGTGAGTTTTAGCCTACGCAGGAGCCAGTTCAATCCATGAACATGTATTTCTGAGTCAGAATAAGAGTGTTGTATAGTTGAGGCTCAGATGTAATTGAACTGCTCTTTCTCTGCAAGTGAAGCTCCTCGGAGGTCTCCTGCTGTGGAGCTGTGCTACCAAGGGAGAGGCGGTATCTTGCAAATGTTTCTTCCTTTTGAAGTTAAACTCTCCTCATATCTTGTGTTTAGATTCCAATGTGTTTGTTTGTTCTTCTGATGAAGACCAATGCTGATAGGAAGAGCATTCATGTTTGTTCTAAAAGGTAAGGGGAGGAGCACAATGTCTTCACTATCACTGGGAATGTACCTCTAGGATCAAGCCAAACAGCAAAGTCAGAGGGATTTTGTAAGGACAATAGCTTTTGCAAATACCAAATTAACCACATTTTCTAAATTGTGTTCCATGTGGAGGAAAAAAACAATCAGTGTACAAAAAAACATTTCCATTCCTTACCGTGATGCACTACTCCTTTCAATCCCTGGATGATGGGTTCTACAGCTGGATTGTCTTTTTGCCCCAGCTGCAGGAAATGGCCAGAGACAAGAGATTACAAAAGGGATTACAAGATCCAAACAATAATCTCACATAATGACTAAAGACAATCAATGTGAACAAAATACAGGGAGTGGACACAATGAGGGCAACATCTCTACAAACAAAATATAAGCCAGCAGCATCTAATACCATCTATTGGTATTATGAAGTCTATGACTTTCATTTTAGTACGATTTTGAAAGTGCACATCAAAGATGATTGTTGTTTCTGGGGTTCTACTCACGACTACACAGTACTGTATTGCGTAACTTATAAATGGTATTTACAACCAAACCTTGATTATCAATATTGGTGGTTCTTTGGGGGAAAGTGTGATTCAATTTTCCATTATATATGTATTTTTTATTACATTACATTTTTGTGAGCACTTTTTCTCATTTTATGAGCTTTGAAAGATATCCTTTAGCAGGAGGTATTCAGTAAACGTATGAGGCCGTTTGGCCCTAAGCTTTAGCGTCTCCAGAGAACCAACACCAGTGTTGATTCCCTCCTTATCTATTAGGCCTACAGCTAATTCTTTGAAATGATTGAAGACTGGCAAATGTTGTTCAGCCCCACATTCTGCAATATTCCCAAACGTCCTAGTTAAGAGACAGGACTGGGCAAAACAGTGTTGGGATGAGGGGACCAATCTTCTCTTGCTCAACATTAATTCAGGTCAGTCAGAGGAGAATAATTGTGTGGAACTGAATGCTGAATGTGGATAATATGCACACCTCAGAGGCCATTAATAGGCCTTTGGGGAGACAAGGAAGAACTCTGCTCATTGATTAGAAATGGTGAATCTGAGCCAATGTGTGTGTGTCCGCTTTAAAAACTCTTGCACTGTAAACTGCTGTTCAGCGGATTGTGTATGGTGGTGCTAATTGCAGTAAGCAATAGGGCTGTCAGGACCCAGCGGAGGCATTTAGGTCCTCGTACACACACGGTTTATCAGTGTCTGAGAGTAGACCTACATTACAAACACCTGTGTCCCCATTCCAGCCTCGCTCTTCTCTGACCCTTGTCTATATACTATTAAGCTGAAAGTTAGCCTGCATTGATCGCCTGACATCAATCGTAAAGATACTGCTAATAGAAACTAAGAGCACCACATGTGCTGCTGGTCTATGCTTTTTCACGGTTCATAAATCTTTGAAGTGTTTTAACTGTTAACAGAAATTAGGACCATTCTTGTCCATTAAGAGCTTATGTGTGCAGACCTTCAGGGGACAATTTGTAGTATCTGGGTTAGCAATCTGCAATGTGCTACAGTAAATAGAAAAATAATCGGCTACTAGGTGAAGATAAACTCTCCTATCCCAACACAGGTGCCAAAAAACAATACTAATGATTAGATAAAATGTATTGACCTCCAAAGCGAATTACCAACTCGGTCCTTTACTTAATTGGAATTATACAGGTACAAATATCCCCCTAGAGTCAAAATTGCCTCATCAAATGTCCTTTTTCCATCTTTTATTTGACAATAGCTCTTATTTTCTTAGCACAATTTCCACCGCTGCATTTCTGTTTTCTTTCATTTTGGGATATTTATTTAACCATCCACTTGGTTTCTATTGTTCATAGTTTAAAGTAATCACAATGTATGTAAGTAACGCAAATAAATGCTTTTGATAAAACTAATATTGATATAAAGGATACATCTTTAAAAATAGGCAAAGTGAGTCTCCAGCAACTCAGGTTGCTCTGTAAGGCTGAACTTAGGCACAACTTACAACAATACTGCTAACATGCTGATATTAGGCATGTTCTCTCTCTTAGTCTAGCATGTTGGCATGCTAACATTTACAAATAAGCAGGAACAACAAGTAGAGCTGAGGCTGATGGGAATGTCATTTGTTGTGCAGGTTTTGTTTGAATGATGGTGGCGCTAGAAGAAAAAGTCAGCGGATAACCAAAGTAAATTCATTCTAAAGGCGGCATGGATGTGTGTACCACATTTATAGTAAACCATGTAGCTAGCTAGCATAGCCACAGAGATATTTCTGGCAGGATCAAAGAAGTGGGCTGACCAACAGACTGACCCTCGTCATCCCTAGAAACATGCCACTAGCATTGATAAAAATGTCTCTGTTCAAGGGAACTACAAGTGCAACCGTGTAGTCTCAGTTTTCTTCAGATTACATTTGTCTTGACCTTCAGAGCTGGTGATTCCTTACCTCAAAGAAGACGGACATGGCAGCAATGATGCGTCTTTCCTTGATGGCAGCGCTGAGGCTGTCAAAGTCATCCGAATTGTAAAGGTAAATCTGCATCTAGGATGGGAAAGACAGAGCATAAACAGCTTGAGGAGTGGACAAGGAGAACCGACACTGCTCTCATCCATCACTTGGACACACTGTGAGGAGCTGATGAAAAGCTGTTTTGAGGGGCATAAAAGAGGGTGTATTCATCAGTCCTATAAATCTCCCATAATCTGTGTCATTCCTTTTTGTGTTCTGCCACTCCTGGGGATGCTTGAGAAATACAGCATCCCATTCCTCAGGGCGACTGTCCTCACAGAGACAAGTCACAAGCTGAGAGGAAGAACTGGAGGAATATGCACTTTCCTTGTGTGCTGAGATCTAACAGAATGGTATGCTTATAATCCTTGACTCAAATTACTTCAAATCACCCACAACATTGATTCTGATTTCACAACAAAGCTTAAGTTGTGAGAATATAACGCAAAAACAACATGCAGAGAATACATGATATACCTTTGATGACTGTGGTTTCCAATAAAAAATTGTTTTCAGTCCTTTCATTTCAAAGCAGACATATTATGGTAGTGCTGATCAAAATCAGCAAATTATTCTAAAAGTAGCAATTGGAGCTGCCCATCATCTCGCTTACCCGAGTCTCTTTAAAATGAAAACCCTTTCATGCAACTGAACCAAGTTAATTGGCAATAAAAAAAGGTCCTAGATGTTGATTTAATTAAAGGGCATGCTTTCCTTTTTTCATCTTTCAAAAGGGATATTACATGGAAAATAAGCAGCCACCATTGACTGTGCTAAAAACAGATGTATAAATAAGGATACATAAACAAGCTTATAAATAAGGACACATCCAGTAATGTGTACCAATAGCCTGAAAATGACTGAATCCAGATAGTTTAAGGTAATCAGTTTTCTTCGGACTTCCTTTAACTGCGGCTTTTAATGGAACTAATTAGTTGTGTGAGAGCTCCGCAAGAAAGAGCTCTGGCCATTCATCACCCTTCAGATGTTATTAACTACATTACCCAATTAAGCTGACCCCCTTAGGCTCACTGACACTGGCTCATGTGACCTGCTCTTATTAACAGCACACTGGAAAACGTGATATTGTCAAACACTTGCATAGCAGGCAGCCAATAAAAATAAATGTTGCCGTAAGCGATTTGAATCAATTGATTGCACGCTTCGTTTCTCTGTACGTCTTCGGGCTCTGGCACAAAACCCCCTTGTTGGAGTAGACTTGATTCACATACACAGATATTTTTGGAAATTGTTGATTTTAAGCAGGACAGACAGGTGGTCTGACCGACATTTAAGCTCACTGAAGATAACACATAAACATTCATACATGCTTGTTTTTGTCAGTACAATATTTACTGGACTGTTGTACAGAGAAATATGTTAAGACGAGGAACGAATGAGGTAAGTCTAAATAACCAACAGCTGGCAAGAAATCAGAGGCAACCGGAGACTGAAATTATAAACAAAACATTATTTGAGCTTTATGATTCACCTCCAGTTTTCTCTGTAGAGCAGATGGTCCACAAAGTTAGCGCAAACACAAGCTCTGAAAGCTGCTCTGAATTCTCAAGCACTAGTTAACCACACACAGGTGAAACAATGAGTCATCATTTGCATGATGAACAAAACAGTGAGATGCTGAGGCAAGACAAGCAAACTACAAACAATTAATGTTACTGCTGTTATGTTGGCTGTTGCGATTAAGACACTTTAAACACTAAGGATGAGAATTGGTATGATTTCATTGATAGAAAATAATTATCTATACCTCTTATCGATACAAGCCTTATTCAATTATTCAAGTCACCAAGTGTTGCTAGGTAAAAGGCACACATGTTAATCAGTGCCATGCTTCGGAGCTATTTTTCTCTCTCTGCAATGGCGACAGTGGTGACCTGAAATGCGTAAGCTGTTAGGTCATTGCACATTTGGAAATTTAAGAAAGCATCAATAAGAGGAATCGATTAGTCACTGAGGCGTGCTATTCCAGGGAATTTGACAACTTCATACTGAACGGGAAAGGCTCTTGATTACTATCCTTAAAAACACATACATCACTCTTTTATTGAGTATTGCTACAGTGACAGAGTTGAATGCAACTGCAACCTAGAAAATAGACACCAGCAGATAAAGAAAACAAATGTACTATGTAAGATTACATGATTCAGATATGTTATCTAAGATATTTGCTTAACACCTAGTGTTTTATTCCACTGTTAACTCGTTTTCCAACAACCCAGATGGGTTGTTAACGTCAGTCACTCCATGCATCACTAACCATGGCAGTTGTGTATTTTTCACTCCCATTCAATTTATGTATTTTGTACTGTTTACTGTCCATCTACTTAGTATTTGTGTTGAGCTCTCAGGGTCACCACATCCATCCCCATTAGTCTAGAATGCAGATATGCTTTCAGTGCCACTGGAGCTTTTTCCTAATCAAATATACAGTACTGTACACCCACCCCGTACATTTCATACATCCGCAGTAGCGAGTGGGTACCCTTGCAAGGTGTGATTTGTAATCCATGTATAATTAATCTAACCTTGGTGACACCCTAATATATTATTAGAAAAGATCTCCTTATAGTACCCTAAGGCGGAAAAAAATCCACGGTTTCATTTTTCATTGTGCTGTTTGAGCAAACAGGTGGTCCATCTATCGATTTCCCCCGCTTCACTCCCATGAAAAGACGCTGGTTAGATTAATGTCAAGCTCAGGAGCCACAGGCCGAGCAGCCATGTTTATTTCTCCGCTGTTGTTTTTTTACATAACCATGTTACAAAAGGCAGAGCAGCTCTATAATGCAGCTTTTTGAATTTCTCTTTCCACCCCCTGTATCAAAGTGTGAACTATATTTTGTGTGGGTTTTCAAGCTTCTGGGCAAGTGGAATAAACACTTTGGAGTTGTCCCCCTCTACTAAAATAGTAAATGCTTTATGCAGTGTGGTACAAACAACTAAGGGGTAAATGTGACTCATATGAAGTGGAGACATAATTAGAAAGCAGATTGGAAAGCAGTCTCTGTTTAGCAGAGACAAATCAGCCCTGGAGCTCAACCTCCAAGGTCATACTGCACAATTCTCGAAGAACGAAACAAATATATAAACAAACAAACAAAGGCCATCCTCCGCTGTTAAAGATCATCGGGAAAGTCAAACGCAACGGTGTCGGATGTTATATTATCTCAAGTATATATCAAACTCTGTCAAAGTTTAAATACGAAATATGAAAATGCCACATCTTACAGGAGGAAGCAGTTAAATAGCCAAAGGCCAGATCCTGCATTACCATTTTCACCTTCAACCATTCATCATTTAATTTTCCTCTTTCACCTTTTGATTCAGAGAGTGAAATAATGCATCATGTTTGAAACATGCAGGCTGAATTATCGATTTAGAGAATCATTTAATTTTAAAAAGACCTCCCACTCTGTGTTGTTTCTGCGTATATGGTGCGTGGTGTATGCAGGGTTGGGTTGTAACGGCGTTACATAATCAGAATACAAAAATCAAGTAACTGTATTCAGCTCGCATTACATTTGAAAAACGAGTAATCTGATTACAGTTACTTTCGTAAACCTGAAGTGAATACATTTTGGATTACTTATTGGAATTATTGGTGGAAAGATTTCCTCACATTTAATATTCATTACTAAAGTTACAGCCGAATCATCACAGCGCACAAAGACTATTACCGCCGCAGATGGACCAAAAAAGGGAGCGTTTGAAAAAAAAGGGGCGGGTCCGCTCAGTGAAACAATAACAACGAAACATGGAGGAACAAAAGTCTGCATTTAAATCGCGCGTCTGTGTGTGTGTGTGTAGAGGTGTGTGTAGTTAAAACACATCAGCCACACCGCTCTTTAGCCTTTCTAATGATTCTGAAGGTAAACACAGTGAAGGCGGTGCGTGAAAGGCACGGCGCGCTCCTCTTCTGGAGCTGAGTTANTTTTAAGTCCTTATAAGCAGTGGATTAAATCTCTTGTATGTGATTGGGAACAACCCCCCCCACACACACACACACACACACACACACACACACACACACTGTGTGTGTGTGTGTGTGTGTGTGTGTGTGTGTGTGTGTGGGGGGGGTTGTTCCCAATCACATACAAGAGATTTAATCCACTGCTTATAAGGACTTAAAAGTGGATTCATTGTAATTACCTAAGTTTATATGATTGCAAAATTATCACACAGTAGAGTTTCATTGTCGTGCCTTGTTATATTTATGACAGCATCTATACATTTGAGGAAAAGGTGCTTTTTCTCATGCAAATGTGGAGCTCTCTGCATGCTGTTTTCTCAAGCTAAGAGATGAGGGGGTCCACCATTCACATCACTGACAAACCCTTAGCGCTAAATGCGAATGTGACTCATGCACATCTTGGAGTAGGCATACCAAAGACTGCAGCACACAGCATCTCTAGTGTTGGAGTGTGTCCGTTCCAATTAGTAAAGTACGTCTCCGAAACTCAGCTGACCGATTTCTAGCACAGTCAGGATTTCCTTGCGCTTTGATAGCAGGAGTACATTAGTTGCTTTGCTGGCAGTCTTGGCTTGGCTTCATTCAAACCAACATGTTGCCAAGTTCAATGAATTAAGTGCGAACTTACGTAATGCTGCATGCTTTCTTTTTTTGTTCACTAATTTGTTTTGTTATTTTCCGTTTGGCTTTAGTGGCAGTCATAACCTGACTTACCTGGCTACTTACCTGCCCACGTCCAAACATTTAAAAATATTCTCAACAGTTCTAGAGATAGAGCAACAGGCAGCAAACAAAGCTGTTCTCCATCACATTCAAGGAGAGATACTCTTATTGCCTACAGGGAGGGATCAAAGGGGAGGACTGTAAACGTAATGTAAACAGATGGAGGAAGGGACAACACTCAAAGGTTGGCTTCCAACCTTTGATCGAGGCAAAGGGACACATTCAGGACCCTGAGAGCTCTGAGGCAGACCCAGTGTTAAGCCAGACAGACTCTAGTGCTGTCACAATGCAACTGTGTTAAGGGATCCATTTTGAGGGAGTGTACTAATGCTGAGGGGGAAGGAAACGTGGCATCATCTACTGGACATGCACAAAGCATTATGGGTGTTTCTCATTCAAATTGACTACATACCTCTTTTCCCTGCTGGGACAGTCACCAATCATGTAATAGTGAGAACACAGTATAAGATGTACAGGACAATAACGTTTTCTTGAGGCATTTGCCTTTAGAAGTATTATTTTCTTTTTAACTAAGTATAGAAAGAAGAGAAGGATGGAAGAGGAGAAGCTGGGGAAGTAATGCTTGCAAAAGTGCGGACTGTGAAATTAATTGTTGGATGGAGGGGAAACAAATGTTTATGGTGGATCAAACTTCAAAAGGTTAACATGGAGCATACTTTGGGAATTTTACTGGTTCAGCATGCTTGGAAAGAAAGGAAACCTTTGTATGGCCCGATGAACATGCTTTATGATCACAATTATGTTGTGCAAGCTACAGTGCCTTTTCATTTTTAAACATGTTTGCTCCACTTTTATGCCTAAAAACCCACCCATTGCTACAGTGTCTATGAGATCATTCTCTGCCTAAAAAGGTGCCTCTTGCCATAGTGGCGCACATGCCATACAGGGAGGTCGTGATGGGGACTGAAGAGGAAAAATAAATAAAAATACTGTACCGATTGATCTCCAGAACTTGTGACTGCCGCCTGTCAAGCATATTCAGAGAGATACAATAAATCTGCTTTAACTGTATATTCTACGATCACATTGGATCAACCTTCAGATCTACACAACATGTTCAATATGCTTTCCTACAAGCTCAGTGTTTATAGCAGCATACAGGATGCAATAAATTAACAATTTTCAGTGGTGGGAATACTGGTATATATTACTACACTGCATTCAGAGGGGAATATATAACCCCTACTGCATTACATGGGGCTACTGCTACAGTAACTTTTCAGATAAAGTTGTAATACAGTCGGAACCTATGATACGTTATCCAATACAATATAGTCTTATAGATTAAACAGGTGGTTTGAAATGTTTCTGCTTGTAAATTCTGGAAATAGATCCAAGGCTTATGTAACATTGCAACGGAGAGCTACTATGATCAGAGGAAAAAACTGCACACATGATATCCTTTTAGGTCTAATTTATAGTCTCTGCTCAAACACGCCGCACTGATTCCATGTAGCCATGGTCTGCTGAACAGCAATTAGAGCTCTCCTTAATTAAATTCATCTTCGAAATATCTTTTTTTCTTAGTTACCCCTAGATGAAAGCAGCTTTATTTATAGAAGGCTGATAATAAGACTAACTCCCTGCTGAGGGGCGGAGTGAGATAAGAGTGAGAGTAAAGAGGAAAGTGTTTTGAGGAGGAGAGGGTTCTCACTCACCTCCGCATGGTGTTCCTGGTTCTGCTGGAGGACCTCTATGACTAACTCCGCCAGGCGAATTGTTTCCTCCAGCTTTTTGGCAGGCGTGACTAAGCGGCCTACGTTCTCTGAGACAAAAGGATGAGGATGAGGGATGAGTGGTTAGTCAAGCAAAGAGGACTCCAGGGGGATTTTGTGAAGAATTTGTTTCCTTTCTATATGTTTGGACCATTTAATATAAGACTACACACAGCGCTTACACTGTGATATTGTATCTAGCATAACAAGTTAAATGTGTTCTTATTTATATGCATTTTGGGCTGCATGACATATAACTAACGTGTTTGTAGGAAAGACAGACGTATGTTGGAAAGAGTATCAGGCACGAGAACAGTGGCGTTGGGATGGAGGTGCAATGTGGCTTCAAGAACATGCATATTGTGAAGCGCTACTGAATAACCCATCTGTGTAAGGAGCTGTCACATGGTCAAAATAAAGAAAACACTCAATGAGAACATAGGCCTATTGTAAAAAAGTATTTGTTCATTCTGTGTAAATGTTTTATTAAATAACTTTCAGATTTGAGTTTCCTATTCAAATACAGGTCTAATACTATCTTACAGGCTAGAATCAAGCTTATTACTTTACTCAGTACTTGTGATGCTATAGCGGTCGAAGGAAAATGAACTAATAATTGTATCAATGCCTGTGCATATATATATGTTTAAGCAAACACATGTATACATTTATTCTACTTTAATTTAAGGCCATTTTTAAGAAATGTAATACTTTAAACCATTTGTTATGCATTTGTAAATTACATTTAATTGAATCTATTAACAAACAAAATTACTTTCTTGAAGCAGGTTATAGAGAGTGTTTCAAGACACTCAAAACACAGGAAAATGTGTCATGTTTTTGGTTCATTGGTTTTTGGATTGTGCTTCTCTATACAATAAATCAGCTATTATCTCAATAGTTCATCAAAAAACTGATAACAAATCTTTTGAATTAATGACTTCAGTTTTGTTGGACTAAATATTTCCACAGGATGACGCTGTTGGATGAGCCATCAACTCACGTTTTGAGCACTAAACACTGATTTTGGCCATCTTTCACTTATCATCGTTGGTTTATAAGTTGAAAAAGCTTCAAATCACTTGCTTGTACCTTTGCTTACAGAATAATGCATAAAACAGATACACATAATGCAATGGAATTGTTTAAACTGTGAGACTATGTTGGATGATATGTGCATCATTTGAACATGGAACTGAAGGGCTACACAAATCAAAAGCACATTGAAACATAACTCTACATTGAACAGCAGTGGTCTTTACACTGGGGGGTCCTTATAGCTTACACTATTATTTTAATGAGTTTGCATTATTTTATGAAATATTCCTCAGATATTTCTGCAAAAGCCAAACATGTATCTATTTTCTGGTTTCGGTTGGAAAGTAGTAACAAGAAACACTAATCTGTCACTTTAATTGTCATGCAAATGTTATCATGGTAGGGCATCTGAGATAAAAAGCTGAGATAATAATTCAGTCATTGTCTTTAGGGGCATTAAGGTTGACACTAATAGGTTTGGGTGACATGGATTTGTATATCAGTAACTATATATCTATCTGTAATGTGGAGGGGAGCTGTGGGAGCAGATCTGAAAAGAAGCTTTTATCTCTGTTTGGTTTAAAAGAAAAGCTAAGCAAGCTTTATGGCTTCATCGGCATCTTGAATGCATTCAAATCGTTGTGACAAATATGTTATGTTGTCAAATATGTGGAATTATGTAATGTATGCTAATGTGTTCTATGTTTCACTCCTACTGCAAGACAAATTCCCCTTAATGACAATAAAGTTAAGATGTAGTTGAAGTGTAAGTTTGAATCAAAACTATCGGCATGGGTACACAACATAATGTAGGACACATTTGTGTTTGACTTTTTGTTAAATGTACCTTTATGTATCTAGAAAATATTACGAAATTTGATTTAAATGTATGATCATCTAAGGTGATATGTAATATATACAATCCCATTATAACAATTATAATATTTAGAGGAACATTTGCTCATATGTGTTATGCAATGTTGCTTTTGTTCTTCTTTTCCCTTTGCCTTTAACATTGATGTTAATATGTGACTTATTGGTTTTTGTAAGAGATTGTATTACTCTACAATACTTGATACACAAATGTGGGAATAATGTGTTTTTCAGCTCCGTACAACCTCCTTACCACATAACTGAACATATATATAAGCTAAATGTAATGGAAAGAAAAACTCCCAGAACAGAGTATACAGTCTTGAGCCACATCTGAAATGATATAAAGTAATACAATCTCCAAGTATTTACTTTATAAAGGGATGCTTAAAACATGCCAAGACATTTGAAAACTTGAATGAGTTCTCAAATGTCTATTACAAGGGTGTATAATATACTGTATGGAAGATGTGCTACATGTAAAGGTTATGTGCATACATGCATATGTTCTGCATCTTTTCACAAAATACATGTGTGTGGAGGGTTGGGGGGTTAGGTGTGTGTGTGTGTGTGTGTGTGTGTGTGTGTGTATGTATGTATGTATGTATGTATGTATGTATGTATGTATGTATGTATGTATGTATGTATGTATGTATGTATGTATGTATGTATGTATGTATGTATGTATGTATGTGTGTGTGTGTGTGTGTGTACATGTGTGTGTACATGTGTGTGTGCACTGTGGCTAAACCACAAGCTAAACATGGGTTCACCTGGATCCTTTTGATCCTTTTGACCTTTCTCAACTTCAGCGAGAAAAAGGGAGAGAAGAGATAAGAGATGTTTAGAATTAGCACTGTTCTTGGGTTATTTTCACGTTACAGGGGGGGAAGCTCAGAGTTGTTATTCTTCACCATGTGACCCTTTCAAAGAATCTGCTGGGACAATTTCAGCTCCAAGGAGTGAGGTTTCTAGGCAACAGACAAACATCACAGACATACAATAAAAAAGAGACGAACGGAAATATTAGCCTGTGGAAAACTGGAAATGAAAAAGAGTGACAAGATGTTTGTTAACAAACAGACAAAGCTCAGACTATCGTAAACAGGTAAGACACACAAACAGCTGGCAGGATCATAGACAGGACACACTGAGTGACTTGATACACAGACAGGAGCTGGTAAATCCTTACGCCCTACGCCCTGCGCTGTCCTCCCCATACGTAGCTCTGTGGTTGTGCTCCTTCACTAACTGTGGTGTCGCGGTGAAAGGAAAGCCTACCTGTTCTGCACAGCACACCACTGACACATGATCAGACCAAATGACTGGAGGAGATAACAATGTAAGCAATGTAAAAATGCATTCAAGTCAAAGGAATCCAACCAAAAGAAAGAAGCTTACAGACCAGACGGCTCATTCATGTCCATCACAAACAGATGGTACTAAAAAACGGAGCCCGACTGTTTCAGTGCGATGCTGCTCAGATCGCTCGACTGGTGCGCTCCCCACTCACTCTCACAGACAAAAGGCACACATAAAAGCAAACATGGCAGGAGCAACACATCTGAAGGAAGAGAAGCAGCAGAAGGGAGGGCGAGGTGATAAAAAGAGGGATAGAGACTGGGGAGAGGGTGATGAAGGTACTCACGGATGGTTAAATCCATCACTTGAGACGCCAAGCAGAAGACAGGGTGCTCAAACATTTCCCTCTTTTTTCCTATAAAAAAGGATTGGTGCATGCAAGAGGATGGGGTCAGAGGTGGGAATGCTAAAGGTTAAGGTTGATGGGAAGAGGGCTGTCCAGGTGAAAACGACAGTCTGTTAGCCAGGAGGCAAATTCAAATGTTTGATTGATTTTAAGACAGGCGCCTCACAAGGACAGTGGAAAGTAAATTCAAACAGCATGGCAAGATAGTAAGGTTTGATTCCTTAGTATCTTTAGCACCCTGGGAGATTTCTTTCAAGGCATAAACAACATCATTCAATGCTATTAATGGGTGTACAGGTAGAGAGGACGAAGCAGGAGAGAAAGACATTATAAAATGTCTTGTCACTGATGTCATTTTTGGTTTGTAATCCATGCCAATAAAGAAAGGCCATGTTGTTAAGTCTCAAAGCACATGCAGGTGGCTGATGCTGGTTTGTACGTGTTCAATCCCAGCATCCCTTTGGTCAAAAGCCAGTTATCACTTAGTCCAAGAGGTCTAATAAAGTGATAATGGTGACAAAGCCCACAACTGTGGGGAAAGATAAAGAAGCAGAGCAGAGAGCAGGAAGGGAGAGGAAGATAGTGGTCTTCAGCAAGAAGATAGAGGTGAGAGAGAGCTGCTGGTATTTCAAGGCAGGGGAGTAAAGGGGGGCGGGCAGAGTCAGCTGGAGGAGGTAACAGGGAGTCAGAGAGGACATTCAGTTAAGCTGAACTCACAGTCCAATCATTAAATGTCAGAGGCCGGGCTACTACACAGCTTGAATAGTCAAGGCATAATGAGAGATCAGCACATCAACAGATTTCAGGGCTTTGGATTTGAATGCATTTTTACTCACACACCTCTACACAAAAGCCAACTTGACCTACAGAACAGCACAGAGCTAATGCAGGCCTGAAACAAAGGAGAGAGTTATTGGACTGAGACAGAAAGTGACCGACAAACTGTCACAAATAATCGGGGATGCCACAGATCATTTGGGATATGGACACAAATATATACCAAGTGAATTCACCATGTGTAAATAAATAACAATGACAAGATCAATCTCATACTGGAATAAGAAAACGGACATCTGAGAAAAAATGTGTATTATTTTCCTATTTTATTCCACACACAACCACTCGCTGAGCATTTCAATCTGAAACCATACATGTTAAATGATATGACTGCATTGCATACATTATGATGACCGTTATGGTATAGGATTTTCTTTAAAAAATCATTAACATATTCGCTCCAGATTCATTATGTCATGTTGGCTTGTGTGTTTCTGGTTACCTTCGATTGTAGCATATTCTTGAATCCGCTCGTAGTTGAGCTGAGCGGCCTGCTCCAAACATTTGCGGATCACTCCTTTGACTTCTTCTGGTGGGACTGGGGTCACAATGTCCTTCATCAGGACCTAGAGGCAACATTTAAGAGAATGTATGTAAGTTGTATTCATTACAGTTGTTGTATCTTAAAGTATTAAACACTTTCTCAAATATGTGAACAAACCCTCTCCAGCAGAGATAATGTGGCCTTCAGTGCTCCCTCTGGACGGCCGAAGGGGAAGCAATATCTGCAATGGAAAATATATACAGAAAATGTCATTTCAGTGGAAAAGTATACATAGGCTAAATGTTTTGAAACTTTTGTGGTTATTAGCTGTTGGGGAGTCGGCTGTCACCTGAAATTTACAATCTGGTTTTCCAAAATCACACGCAACCGCTCCTTGATGTCTTCAAAGCGCTCCTTCTCGTCCACTTTCACTGTGGTCAGCCCGTCCGGCCTATGAGGATCACACCCACACACTTTTACCCAGCTGAAACCCTGCAGTGGTTCAACTTATGCAACCACTCATCTGAGTCTGACAGGAGCAAGAATATAAAAAATGCTGGCAGAAAGCGTAGTACTCCCAAGGTACTGACTACAAAATGTGTAAGATTTGTTCAAGATCAGAGTTCACTTTGTGTTACACATACAAAAAAAACGACAATGTCTCACCTTTTTTGCCCTTGAAAGAGTGGTATTTTGGAATCCTTTCTCTTTCTAAACTTGAATATGCGTGCTTGTTTAGAGACAGTGGGAGGATCTGGGCTCTGGGAGCTCTTTGGTGACATTTGGGTCTCATAGCCCAGCGGCCCCCAGTAATTGCTGCCCTCTCTGACTTTAACGCACGCATGGGAGGATGAATAATATGGACAGTAAGAGACTATGGTAATAAAGGACAGAGAGAAAGGAAAGCAAAGAAAAATGGTAGAAAACAAAGAAATATGTGGAGATATACAATTGATTAACAACATAATGCAACATGTAACACAAACAGCAGAACAAATTTAACAAACAAAAAATAAATAAACATGGCAAAATTAAATAAATGGAAGACAAAAAATGCCTATGTTTGAGGCTGACTTCTCTATTCTGTTGTAGTGCAATGTTTATGGAAATCTAGTGTGCTCATCTGCTATCAGATCGACTAAAGGAATAACATTTATATTTGATGGGCTTTCAAATCCTGTCACTTCCAAAGCATAATATTTTAAGAAAAGATAAGGGCACACCTGTTCCCATGGACATGAGAGGCACAAAAAGCGAAGCTGTAGTGAAGAAGAGTGGGGTCAATAATAGCCCCACCCTCTGCTCTTTCCAGTAGATCACGCAGGTAACACAGATGTCTGTGACAACCTCGAACTCCATTCCTGGCACAGTACTCGTCCAAGACAAACACCTGGCCTGGACTAAACCAACCCTGCACAAAACAAACACAGATGGGGATTGTATTACTGTGTATCGGCTAACAAAAGCATAGCCCACTGCCATAAATGTATCATGTGGTGATGTTATAACAGGCAGAGGGTCACCCACCAAGCAGCAGAAGGTGTCATTGAGCCTGTGGTCCAACGTGAGCCGCTGCACCATCTCGAAAAGCGAGGCGTGGTCAAAGCTACAGGGGTTAGCGGAGATAAACTCATCCATGCCATGTTTCTGAGCTCTGTCAGCATCTATCCAGCCAACGGCACAGGGGAGAGAACACGGTTCAGAGGAGAACACATCAGTGAGGAACAGGCAAAAAGCAATTGTTTTTTGAAACACAGAAACAACAGGGATTGTTTTTTTGCTACTTCTAAGGGCAAATTATAAACACTTACAGCTTACATTGTCAACTTGCATTGTATCACGCAGCGTAAAGATATTTTATGTATTGGTGGATGAGATTCTATTGATCTGAAGCGAAGCTCAGAGGCAAAGGTGCTTCTATTGTATGTGCATGCAGGCATCTGTATGTCACTTTCCCTGATGTTTTTGCAGGGGAAAGATCCAAACCATGTTTGAAAAAGTGCTGGTTAGATAGAATTAGATGCATTCTTCTTAATGTATTCAATAGATTCTGCCATTCTCGATTGTTGAATGTCACTCTGGTCCTGATAAATATTGGGATGTGTGCTAATAAAAAAAAGACAGCAATATGGCAAAAGAATAATTTACCAGAACACATTGTAGAGATACAGTTTAAAGTGCTTATTTAGGGAAAATGTTGTAAAAATCAAACTGAGTTTTGTAGATTTTTCTCCCGTTATGGATCCTCGGAAGTCATATCCTTTCAGAATTGTTATTGTTTTTCTTGCTTCATAACTTTTGCCATCAAGAAGACTATCAGACTTTTAAAACCCTAAATTGAGCTGTGAAATTCAATAAAGGAAAGAAAATTAGTAACATCAAACTGTGTAAAACAAAAAAGGCAATGGGGGATGAAAACACGGTGGAAAATGTTTATTTAATTCTCTAAACCACAGAAGAAAACTAAACTGGCTCTTTAAATAATATCTGTCAGAGACAAAATGATGGGGATGAGGATCATTCGAAATAGATAAGAGATGCAGTCCTCAGTGTGAGTGACAGGTGTCATGTCCATGAGACACTGACATGATTGATGATGATTTGGGAGTGTGGGTGGGAGGTGTGGAGGCCTGATCTTAGCTGGGCAGAGCCGGAGCAACGTATAGGGCAGAACTGACATCTGTCAACCACTAGGTCAGTGAGAGGGAAGGGAAAAGACTGTGATACTGGTGCTAAACATTAATTGAAATGTTCTATAAGAAAAAAGAGCCTAACAAAGGGTTACACTTCAAGAAAATTAGCTTTTTTACTCCAGTCTTAGAAGGTAAACCTGTGAGACAACAAGTAAAAGTGTTTGAGGACGAGGGACAAGACAGGTAATGTAGGTCAATAATGTAAAAAGAGTAGAACGGTTAACATGTGAGGCTTTGAAACACGGAGAGAAGACAGGTAATGGCTACAGAGAGGCCCAAAGGCTGGATGATGAGACAGGATGTAAAAAGACTTTGTGGGTAAATCAACCTTTTAAATGGGACAATAAGACAGTGATGGGACAGGTGCTTAATGAAATTGATGACCGCAAGAAGGTTCTCTCAAGTTACATCCAAAGAGTAAAGAGAAGGTGCCTGGGGCTGACAGACAGTGAGAGGGCTTTGTCTGCTTTGAGTAAATGAGGAAGTGTAAGTGCAGGATACACTCAATACTCTCGTAACATTATCATAACTTACAATAATGATAATGACTTCAACCATCAATAAAATGACCAAATACCCAAAGTGAATAGGCGGGTACTTTTGCATACATATATAAATTATCACATGCTGGATAACAGTGTGACCTTTCATTGAGCTTTTAAATGTCATGCACATTTGCAGACCCATTTTCAAATTTGCATTTTTATCTTTTTTTGGCATTCCTTTTTTTTTCTCTACGCATTTGCAAGTTGACAATACTTTAATATGTTGCAGTGTATTCATGATCTCTACAGAGCACACTAACAGGCATACCACTACCGGAGAACTCTAATAGGGTAGCAATACAATTTGGTGCAAGTACATGGGTAAATAGCATGAAGCCGACAGAGGCAAAACTGTGTCATTCTCTGGGAGATGGGGGAAATGAATGAAAACTCCTGTATTTGTACAGAAGTATGGACACATGACACAGGTGTTCTCCTATTCAGGCAAAAAAGGGCAGTCAAAATAAATCAAAATGGATATTTTCTTACTGGAGGTTTAGCACGGGTCTAGCTTTCTATTACAAGGCCCATCTACTGGAGGGGGGGGGGGGGGGGGGGGGGTTCGGAGTATTTTATAGTAAGAAGGGGCGGCATTAGCTACTCCTTTTCTTTGGCATTCAGAATACTCCGCATACATATTTGCCAACTCTCATGGAGAAAAAGTTCCAAGGAAAATAACTAAAAGCATTTGAGCCCTCTGAAGTAAAGCATGATCAACACGTTAAAGTGTCAAAACTAATTTCAATCATGCATGACATATATTTAAAAAAAAGAACTGCATCACAGACTGCCATCATCATTCACACTTAATTTACAATTGTTCATATTTAACATCTGAGGTTTTATCTAGCTGTAATAAAAATAATCACTAATTGTTTTCAGATCTTCACATTTATCGATAAAAAATGTAAACATTAAATCTTTCTCATGTCACATGTAATTTTGTATTTGTTTTCTAGTATGTCACATTCTGTCATCATATTGCTTTACTCTGAGGGATCCAGTCACCAATAAGAATAAAGAGAGAAGGCAATTATGCAACAGCTATAATATCAACTAACCATTGCTGAGTCAAATAAAAACTTCTTAGAATAAAATACATGCATCCTATATTGGCACGAATGGATGCTTCTACTTTGATCCTCAAGTTGAGGTTGTCAAAAAAAAAGAATTATCAACTAATATCTAAGACATGAGGCGAGAAGTGAAAAAAGGAGAAGAGGGAAAGAAGAGAGAAAGAACGTTGCATTTATCAGATAATCGGCGGGGATTATCTGAGCTGTGCCGGCTACAGGGAAGCACTTACCCTTGAGTCCAGCTAGAAGACAGCAGGGTAAGAAGGGACAAACCAGAATAACATAAAGACTAGCAACAAGGCTGGAGGAGAGCAATCACGAGACCCTGACCTAGCAGCTGCAATACTCAAGAAGGGTACAGGCAAAGCATGAAGAAGAAAACACAACTTAAAAACAACAACCTATACCAACATGAGAGTTTGTGGGCGGTGGTGTGTGAGTACATGTGAGGATATGTGAACTTGACAACAGATGTTGAGGCACATTAGAGAGAAGGAGGGAGGCAGAGAGACAGAGTCAGAAAAAGAAGCAGACTAGGTAGAGAAAAAGATTGTGTCAGAAATAGAGGGAGAAAGAGAAGACTGTACGATCCTCATCACTCTACTGCAGTTTTTTTTTTCTGGTTTATGGACGAGTACTTAAGAGCTACACATTAAGTACTGTCACTCTTAAAAACTGGAGATCAAACATAAGGCTTACTTTTAAAAAGGAGACATTGGCAAACAGATACACCTACCAAGATGAAGCAAAGTCCAAGTCAGTTTGGTGTGTAAAAGCTGCCTGTGTCTTTTTTAAAGGAAAGAGACTATGAAGGTCCTGAAAAGGTTGGAATAAATGATGGAGTGACCATATTACTGTTTGCAAGAGATTCAACATTGCCACTTATTTCAGCAGAACAATTGAACATGCTTGGAAGGGGCACTCCACTGGTTTTGGAAAAGATCATTCTACTGGTCATGGTTAGTAGAACCTGTGAGAACAGCATCATGTATTTTGCAGATAGAGGGAACTCCGTTAGATTGGATGTTTTCTTTTATGTCTTTAATCAGCTCAGCGTGAAATTAGACCAAATTGTGTTAGTTAAACTGATCTAAATGTGTTAACGCATAAAGCTATTTGAGAAGCAATATATCAACAGAAAAACACCTTAAATGCTAATCCAATTCTGTGTAGCAAGGTGAGCTTCATGTACTAGTGCATTATCTTTTGAAACCTCGATGAAATAGCCAAGTTTACTGTAAGTAGATGTCAACTGAATCATATCAATATGGGACTTCCGTGGGTTTTAGAAAATAACCCTGATGATGTCATTGTGATGTCATCAGGGTCAACTGTTTGAATACGACCATGTTTAAATAGATAGTGTGCTACGCTAACTACAGGTGTGGCATTTTTTATATGCCGGTGCTTTTAGGATTATACGTTTTTTGCTTGTGCCCATTCTAGGGGCCTGAAAGACAGGATAAATCACCCTCTTAAATATTAAGTATGTCTCTCACATGTACTCTAATATTATATAATTGCAAATGTAATTGTTGGAGTACCCCTTTAAGCTGTCTATGGACTCCTCATATATGATATACATGTTTTGTTCTTTCTGTACAGTATATTCTACACAACAAATGTGATGTTCACTAAGCCACTAGCATGTCAATTGGGAAGAAAAGAGAATGTGTGTACGCCGCTCAGAACCTTCATAGGACTCTCGTCTCTGATCAGTCCACTGCAGCAGAGTCAGGAGGGCTGTGTATGTTATGGTCCCAGTGCCATTCAAGACCACTAGGGGGTGAAACATGTACGCGTGGTGTGCCACAATGTTTCAGGGAGGGGGTAGGAAGTCTGTGCCACTGTGAGGAGGCTTTGAATGGCAACAGCTGGCATCAGAGGAGTCAACTAACCACAAGAACGATCACATACTGGACAAAGAAACCAATGGAGAAACAACATAGAATTCATGTGATAAGATTCTGAGTACTGATCCAATTTATGTCTTTATAGTTTTACTCCAATTAAAGTATTTACAAAGAGTAAAATAAATGTGGGGCTTTTGAAAAGTATTATAAAACTATCATTATAACCCTGGATTTCCATATTTAGTATTAATGAGTAATGCCAATTTCTTTTTTCTCGGTTCATGTAAGAAAAAATACAAATCTTGCTCTTTAGAGCTGGTGAATAAATCATTCTTAAACTATGGAGTCAATAGATGCACACAGTCATGCTTGTTTCTGAATAGCAGGATCTATTTTTGTGTAAATAGTATGTGACTTAAGCCAGTAGGCCAGAAAGGTCTATGTTAGTGTTGTTAAGGGCAACAATATTCGAATTTCTGAAAAAATAAGAAAATTACTACCAGCAGTCATACCCAACTCGAGTATTGTATAGATTGTGTGAAAAAAAAATGGTGCTGGCAGTTTCTATGGTGATACTTACTAAGTAAAACATTTAACCCTTCTTTAATGAGGGGGGACACAAGAGACGGTTGCAACAAAAGTTGGTACAGATGCAACACTACTGCAGACAGTCTTACCTTCACTTTGCTACCTGAACTCTGGTGCAAGTACAGTGACAGATTGGTTAAAACTTCAGACATGTTGTCTGGCTTGGACGTCATTCAGTGACAGGGGAACCATCTGAGAAACTGTCTCAGAATCCAGACTGTCTTCACCGCTGCCCTCTACAGCTACGACTGGATTAAAACAGGCCTATGGTTAGGACAAGAGCAGCACTCCCTGGCACTGTCAGTCTGAATTCAACCCCAGCAGGCTTGAATGTTCAAATCGCATGTGTGGTGACCTATTTAGTTTATACAAAGTTTGCACGCCAAATCCTGCTGCTGCACGAGTATTTTTCAGCTCGTCCGTTCCTTTGCACCTTTAAACAGTGTGAGAGTGGTGACAATGAGTGGAAGTCCATAAGATGCTGGAGGGATCTGTGAGAGACCAAGGCATGTGTGTGCGTGCTTGTGTGTTAGTTCTACCAGCACGTTTTATGACTGCAGTGTGGAGAGCATGGCGTGAGACATTTATGGGTTAGAGCTTATACTGCATTGTGGATGAAATCTGCTCTTGCCAAAGTGACCGTTTTGTGTTACGGGCTACTCACAGAACTGAGAAATGGGAGCATCCATTTGGGCCGAGGCACCCCCTTTGGAGTTAAGTTTCTGGACCTGAGTGGGTGGGACAGGCTTGTGGGACTGGCCGGTGGCTCGGTACATGGCCTGGACCCACAGGATGCGGTCCTGCTCATCGTCGCTGGCGAAGATCACAGTGTCGCCTTCCTTCACTGCATTGAAGAAAGCCCTGCCACCATCCAAGCCTGAGACAACAGGATAATAAAGAGCAAATAGTTAGCGTTTCACAGTATGTGTGTGTACATGGACGTATAGTAACAGCAAGTCTAGGTGTCCCGTCTTACCTGGCTGGGGGTCACTGTAGTCCACAGTATACCCGTCCAGCTGGAGCAACTCTTGGGGTTCTGACTTTTTCTCTCTGTAGCTGCACATGGCAAACGTGTACTGACTCACCTACAACCCAAAGGATTAGTGATCAATTCAACCAGCCATGGAAAAGCTTTTATGTACTGCAGTAAAGTATGATTTAACATGAAGATGTACTAGAAAATGGTCAAAACATTTCAAAATCGACACATTTCAATAGATGCCTTTTGCATATCCTGCATAGTATATATATATATATATATATATATA